GGATATAGGATATTATATAGACTAGCCACCTTCGGAAGCGAAGACTAATTAGTCGACTAAGAGTAATATAATAACTCTTTTATCCTACTATTTAAACGATTATTCCACCGATATTACGAGATACTTTTTCGGCCAAAAAGATCCTTCGCCTAAGGTACCAAAATACCTTATACCTTACACTTATTTATATCGCTAAGGGACAGCTCTCCTATTATAACGAGGAGGGGAAGGATACTTATTACTATTAGTTATTACCGATTAAACGCTTATTACTATGATTTTCCTTTATTTATTATAATTTTATTGCTAGTTTAAAAAGACTATACAGTAAATCCCCTATAAAGTATTAGAATATAAAATACTAAAAGCCCTAAACTTCACTTTGAAAATCTCACTTTATAAAACCTCTCTTTCTAACCCCCTACTACACCCTTATATACCTCCGTATACCTTTGTATATGAATTCTGATTAATATAGATAACAATAACCTCCTAAGAGATATTAAGGTATATAGATAGCCCGTTAATAGTATCGAGAATACCCTCTAGCTTCTTCGAAGTTATAAGTAGCTTTAGGCGTACGAGCTCGTATCTTAATTATTCGATAGGCTACTTATAAACTATAGTTATATAGAGCGTACTATTAATTTACTATACTAGTACGTTAATAAGGAAGAACTATAGAGAGGCTCGGAAGAGTATAAGGAGTTCCAGAGAAGGTAGTCTGAAGGCCAGAGGATATAAGCACGACGCGCCCAGAATAAGTAATATCTTATTGCGAATAAGCTAAAAGCTATTAAAGTATAGGGAGAACAGTAAGCGAATACCTTCTTCGGTTACTTAATTACTTATTCGATAATAGAGCTAGCGAGTAGGTTTATTACTATTAGCCTTAGCTACGATTACGTCCGCCTCTCTATTAATAATAAAGTTCTCTCTCGCTTATTATCGCTAGGCAGAGGTATCCGAAACACTAAAGGAGTTATTTAAGGGGATCTTTTAAAGGCCCTCCTCCGAAAGTATACCTTAGCCCTTAGATAAGAGGATCTTCTTTAGTATAGACTATAACTAGACTAAGATAGGTATTACTGCGAAGTAGGCTTCGGCTAAGATCTACCTACTATCGAACCGGGAGGCTAAACTACTCTTTTAGGATAGTTTATTTCTATTACTGCGGTTAAGACAGAGGATAAGGCCGATACCGATACTAAAGCGATAGATAACCGTAATCCTAAGAGTATTATACCTAATAATATATAGGATATAGCGATATAGCTTAAAGAGTTAGATAAGGAATATACGGCCGACCTAATATCTATTAGCGACTTATCTAGTGTAGTCTCTAATCTTTCTATAGCCTAGTTACTTCCTAATAACTACCTATTAGAAAGTGATAAGGAATATAACCCCTCGTAGGAGAGAAAGAAGACTACTAAATATAGTTATACCGCCTAAAGAGTAGCTATAAATAAGACTCTGGCCCTTTCTGCGGACGCTACGAACAGATAAAAGTTAGTAATACTTAGGTATATTAGAAAGCTATCCCTTCCGGAACTAGATTCGATCTTTACTAAGGATATAATCTGTCTGCCTTATATAAAAAGAGTGTTTAAATTATTCGATATACGTAGTGCTAATAAGGACCACGCGGCACTAGCGGTACGAATTAATTTTATTTACCGACACACTAAGGACTAAGACACTATAGTAAAGGAGAACCGGACGTAATTTCTATTAGATACCGATAAGTTATAGTTAGATTTCTATCGCTTTAAGTATTAGGCTAATCCTCTTATTATCGCCGACTATTATAAGGTAACCTAGTTATTCTTCGAAAGCCTCTACTATAAGGTATCTCCTACTCCTAACCCTATAACGCCCCTACCTATTATATTAAAGTTATAAATATAAGAGCGAGGGAGTATAGTTATTCCGTAGTTATTTAGCTAGTTAAAGGAGGACTTCGATAGGTATTACCTAGGTGGCCTTCTTACTCTCGTATATAAGGAGATAGATATATATAACTATCACTATCTACCTCGTATAGGTAAGCCTCGCCTTAGGTAGTTAAGGAATATATAGCACAGTATTATTTAATAGCTTATCCGTTAGGATCTAGCGTACTATATATACTATATTTTCTTCTGGCCAGACTACGCTTACCGACTAATCTCCTTCCTATACTACGCAAAGAGTACTATACCTAAGGAATAGACTTATTTTAGGTATATTAATATGAATCTGAATAACCTAATACAGACTAGATAAGGTAGCGCAATCCTATAAGGTAGTCTAGTATTAGATAATAAAGATAAATAAAACTATACTAAGATTCTGCCTAATATATATCGCTATATTCAGAAGTGGTGGGCTCTCGTGCGGGATAGGACGAACACTACGGATAGCTTCGTGTAGAAGATTAATAATTATCTTTAGACCCTAGAAGATACTAAGCGATATAGCACTAACTAAGTAAAGGAGATCTATATAGCTAGTGATATCCGAATTAGTTTACCTAGCATCCCCTATAAGTTAACGGGCCCCGTAACTAAGAGGCGAAGAAGCATTTTACTATAGTTTATATATATCAGAGATAACCACTTAACTCTAGATACTCTAGAGTCCGGTACGTAAGAAGAAGTGTCTGCGGCACACTAAGACCTTACGTAAGCTCCAAGAACTCTATTAGGGCTTACGAGTAGTGTATATAGCCGTCTGCAGTATATATTCCCTATAGCGCCACGATTCCGCGGGGAAGGTTTAATCTCTAAATACTTAGTTAGTCGTAACCGCTAGACAGACCCTAATATATTAGCTAAGTTAGATATCCTCTTCGGACCGAATAAAGCAGTAGTAACCGCCTATATTATCTTATAGAGGAGGAAGGCGCAGTAAATATACGCCTAATTATTTAGAGATATAATTAAGGCGGAGAAGCTAGTATTCGGGAAAGATTCCTTCTTCTACCGTAAGGTATTAGGGCTATATATTAGTCCCCCCTAATCCAGAAGTTATATCTCCGGAGGATAATAATAATAAGGAAGAGATATAATATCCGCGGCGATAGGGAATAGGTATTATAGTCCTATCTTTCTTTACTTTTATTAAAGTGGCTTAGGCATTCTAAATTAACTGCGCTTAACCACGGGACGGTTAATTTTATAGGGAGGGGTGGTATATAGTGGGAGAATTAGTGATATAATAAGCCTATGTGTGGCCTTAGGCATAATTTAATATCTGCAGTGCATAGTACATCTCCAGACACACTTAGAGGGAAAAAAGTCATCTACCCAAATTCATTCAGGATTCACCTAATTTCTTCTATCCATAATATAGTATTAAGATTATCCCGCACGGCCGCAACAGGGCATCAGTACGGCCTCACCCAGCATCCTCTACACCAGACAGGCAGTGTGTGTGTGTGTGTGTGTTGTCCAGTCTGCATCGCCAGACAGCCATCGAGCCGTTCCCATTTCACTAATTATTTAGAGATATAATTAAGGTAAAGAAGCTAATATTCGGGAAAGATTCCTTCTTTTACTATAAGGTATTAAGGCTATATATTAGTCCCCCTAACCCAGAAGTTATACCTCCGGAGGATAATAATAATAAGAAAGAGATATAATATCCGCGGCGATAGGGAATAGGTATTTTAGTCCTATCTTTCTTTACTTTTATTAAATTGGCTTAGGCATTCTAAATTAACTGCGCTTAACCACGGGACGGTTAATTTTATAGGGAGGGGTAATATATAGTGGGAGAACTAGTGACATAATAAGCCTATGTGTGGCCTTAGGCATAATTTAATATCTGTAGTGTATAGTATATCTCTAGACACACCTAGAGAGAGACAAGTTATCTACCCAAGTTCTTCTATCCATGATGCAGCATTAAGATTATCCCGCACGGCCGCAACAGGGCATCAGTACGGCCTCATCCAGCATCCTCTACACCAGACAGGCAGTGTGTGTGTGTGTGTTGTCCAGTCTGCATCGCCAGACAGCCATCGAGCCGTTCCCATTTCAGTATTTATATAGCGGTTTAGTCAACTAAAAGATATAGCTTAGGATTAACTATATTAATAAACTTAACTTCCCTTTTATATACCTATAAGCTTATATTAATATCTATAAACTAACTATAATATAAAATAGCTTCTAAGTAATAGGATTAATATTAATTAATCCTTAATAAATATTATTAAAGCTAAATATTTAACTTCGGACACTAATACCTCTTATAAGCTATAGTAAATTAAGCGCGTTTTACCTATATATACCCGTAAATATTAATAAGCTTTTAAAGTAAGTATCCTTAATTAAAGCTTTCTTAAAGCGACGCTTAAAAAGTCCGCTGTTACCTTTATAAACCGTATTAAACTAGCTTATTAAAGGCTATTAGATTATAATATAGAATAATATCTTTCTTAAGTAAGAAAATAAGTAGCTATATACTATAAACGCTACGTAAAAGCAAAAGTATACTTATAAGAATAGATAGATAGCCTATAATAACGGTCTATCCGTACAAAAAGTATTAGAGCTCGAGGAAGCTTATAAGGAGCCCTTGTAAGCAATACTAGCTCCACTAAGCCTACTACCGCGGGACACATAAGCACCGAAGACGTGGCGTCTACCCTAATACACTAATTACGGACAGATCGGACATAAAAGGAATATATATAAAGCCAGAGATTAATTAATATAAAGGCGTTTTGGTTGATATAAATGCATTAAAGTGTAGAAAAGTGGGTTGGGTGGCCACTCGCTTACATGGGCCACTCGCTTACCGACCACGCTAACTAAGGATGTTTATGATACGGTTTAAAGGCGATCCACAAAGTAATATAGACATTTTTTGATCCAAGAACATTTAAAAATTGCGGAGTTTCAGGACTGCTTCAAAAACGTTATGTATATCGTTGTTCGTCTAATCACTGTAGATAGAGTCTTTAATTTAATGTACATCATGATATGCCTCCCTCTCTGGATCGCTATATCTCAATCGGAGGTTCTGGGGTTCACCACCAAGGCCTCGCCATATAGGCTAATGTCATAGCCGTGCTCTTCCAAGTATGTCTTGAAGCGAGCATCTTCCGTCTCGAGCTCGCGAGACATGTCGGGTATCAAAAACCAGGAGATCAGTCCTCCAACCACGGTAAATGCAGCTCCGATCAAGAAAACAGCTTGCTGGCCTTTTTCCTCGGATGAGAAGGAACTTTGAATCGGGGTGAACACTTCAGTGCCGATGGATGCACCGGCCTTTCCAACCGCCGCGGCAAAGCCCAAGAAATGACCTCGGAGGGGAGTCGGGAAGGACTCAGCAGCACACAGGAAAGTAGAAACACCTGGGCCCATTTCACCTAGGGCCTGGAAAATGCCGTACATAACCACAAACAAGGGGAAAACAGTTTGGATTTGCGGCAAAGCTCCACCGAGAATAAATCCCCATACAGCCCAGAGTAGGAAGCCGAGGGTCATGTTTTGTTTGCGACCAATCCGGTCCATCAAAAGCCCACCCAGTAGGCATCCGGGGAGGTAGAAGCAGTTGATTACAGTCTAGCGAGCGACTTTGTTAGCCAATTTAATCGCTAGGGGGAGATTCGAGGCAACATACTCCGTATCCGATATTTTGCACGGTGGTGTTGCTTGGATTAAGCTGTCCCACAATCGTCGAAGAAAAAAGCCCGAACGGGTATGTCACGAAGTCATAGCAAAACCAGGCCAAAGCTGATGCAGTGAAAAAAGGTCAGCGAGGTGAGGAGATGGGGATCAATAGTGAACTCACAGGTACCCAGCATAGGCTTCCAGTAGCGTTTCAGGACCAGCTTGTACGGGTAATGCGACTTGATGGCATGCTTCCTGTACTGGGTGGAGTTGATCATGCGAACACGGAAGAAGCAAATCGAAAGCGGGAGCTTTTTTCTGGTCAGTAAGAACAAGCTCAAGCAATCATAGTGACCCAAAAGTACTTACTACTATGCCCAAGCCAAATGCGATTCTCCAGACTCCCTCCGAATTCTGCTGGTGATAGCATGCCAGAATAATCAAGGCGACCACTCCTGCGGCAACGAATCCCTATTTGATTGGATTAGCCGAGCACATGAGAAGACCCTTTCGGCGCTCACCAGGTCCACAGCGAAATCAGTGGTTACTGCCACCAGAAAGCCTCGCTGCTCTCGCAGTTTCTCTGTCTCGTCGGCTGCTTCAGTAGCACTGGTCGCACAGACGGGATATTCACCACCCGCACCAAATCCAGCGATACCACGTGCCACAATCATCATCCAGAACATCCTGTTTGTAAATCAGCCTTGAGTCCAACAATAGGGTTAAGAGAATTGTGTTTACCCAAGCTCCGAAATACCGTGAGCAGCGGTGGCGAGGACTATACCGAGAATGAGGAAAATGGTGGCTGCAATGATTCCTGTGCGACGACCGATCCGATCAATCAAGACGCCAAAGAAGAGCATCCCGAAAATCTCGCCAATCAAATAAGAGTTCGAGAGGCGCGATTTGATCGTCGACGACATGCCATTTTTGTACCTGTGAAGAGTTAGTCCGTGAGGATTCGACTTGCGCGAGCTTTCTGTGCAAGTGGTACTGACAGGACGGAAAAAAGAGGTTCCATGTATCCAACTGCCAGCGAGTTAGCAACGGAGAAAACGGACATGAGGTAAAGTAAGTCACCTACTGATTTGAGCATTGTATCCGTCGCTGAATAGGGCGAGGCCAGAGACTACGACATTCAACACTCCAGAGCGCTTGCGCTCAGGCTGTGGTTCCTCTAAGTCCCAAGACTCATGGTGAGCTTGCTGCTTGGCGTCATCCATCTTCATGACGGAATCACTGGGTGATGCGTCCATTGTGCTTGCCCCGATAGGTATGGATGTTGAGATTAATGAACAATGAACGATACAGAGAAAACTCGGTAGGTCGAGGCACCGAGGACTTGTATATAACAGCTTCTGTCGCTTCTTGTCTCATGTCAAATGTGACATTTCGTAATTTGCGACCATGAATAGTCCAATAACAAGCGATGCCTCATGCACGAGAGTCGTGAGCTGCATAACCGAAGACTGCCGGGACGAAGTTCGAGATGTCGAAATACTTTCCCGACAAGCAGTTAGCGGGTCCAAGCTCTTCCCCGGTGGCATAAGGTTGTAAACAAATCACGATTCGCGGCCTCGTACAGGTCCACCGTGGGAAGATGGATCCACTAGGGGTGGAGTCTGCTCCACTATCTTCCACTGATATTGCCCGTGCCATCCACTTCAAGTCGACCCTCCAGAACAGAATAAGAACCCACTCTGCACGCGGTGTGGAGCCATGGTCGAGATTTTATCAGCCAATCACTCGACCCATGTGTCACACTCGGAGCGCTGTACCCGAGCGGTACCTGAGCTGTGTCTTAAGTGGCACTTGATAATGCAACCCTGTCCCTTCCACGTGCGATCTCGTTTCTCTTGTTCTAGATCTGGCATGGAGCTCGTCGGTACGAAGCGCGACTTCTAGCATCGCTCCGTAGACGTTTTCCCGATCCAGCCATTCAAGCTTGGTGCCACCCGGTTTTGGGGCAATCTATATAATGCATTATGTTCCAATCCTCGGCCCACGTTTTCTGATATTCTTTTTGGCTAGTCACTTTCGCTTTTTTCGCCATGGATAACTTCCACTATGATCTGATTTCGGAGCAGCCCCAAAGCTTCCAAGATCGAGGATATCTACTGGTTCGTGGATTCTTCAGCCCAGCTGAGACAAAGCTGTTACAACAATGGGCACAAGAAGTCCATGATCTACCTCGTACACCCGGTGTTCCCTGGATGCCTTATGAAGAGGTCAATGCAGAGGGCAAGCATGTCCTATGTCGCACGGAGAATTTTGCCAATCCCCATGACGGATTTGATAGCTTCCTTCGGGGGCAACGTGCCACCAGTGTACTGAACCAACTTGCGGGTGAAGAGATGCTACTTTTCAAAGAAAAGATCAACTACAAGTTGGCTGGGAGTGGCGAGAATGCTTCTTGACCTGCCTTGCGACACAGCCAGTTCAGGCGGCTTACATGTTCTGCAGGTGGTTTTGACCACCGTATCGACGCGAATGCCTACACTCAGGTGAAGAACATCAAGCATTTGACAATCCTCGCTGCAGTCGATGAGATGAACGCTTCCAACGGAGGTCTCGAGGTGGTCGATGGTAGCCACCTTATGGAAGTTCCTCTCGGCAGTGATCGCTGCATTTTACCCAGCTGGGTCAACAGCCACCCGTAGACGCCATGCAATCTGGCGCCGGGTAAGTGAATGCTTGTTACGAATTCAGCATCTTAATGTTTACAGAATATCCAGGAGATGTCCTTATCTTTGGATCCTATCCGGCCCGCCGTAGCGGGGCCAACACCAGTTACAAGGATCGCCGCGCTATTCACGCAACGTATAACTGCGCATCCGAGGGCAATCTGCATGATCAGTACTATGCCGATAGACAGAAGCTCTGGCCAGCAACCCATATGCGGAAGGAAGGCAATGGATTATGAAGAAGGACAAGCTCGCTATGCATTCGGCTCCCCTATGTTGACAGTGAACTCGAAGGATGTCCCTGCAGTTTGACATGAGACAATTGGTGGAAAAGGCCATCAAGCTTGTAGATTGTCAGTGCCTTGTTCCGTAAACCGTGCGAGGCTCCAGCTACCTCGTTGAAGTTTCGAATATTTTGTGTAAAATAGATTATTCCCCTGAATATCCGAAGTGGCAGAAATCTTTCTGTGAAGCTCTCTGTGACCATCCATGGGCTTTGAGTTGGCGACATTGATCTGTGCATATTTTTGGATCCCGCAACGAGGTAGCCGGCAGTAAACTAGCTTTTAGACATGCTATCTCTCGGGTTCCTTTGGGTGGATCTTTCCTCTGTAAAACAAAATTCGCGCACACAGGTCGGCAAGAAGGCCCTAGGTCTGCGATTGGAAACATTATATAGCGAGCCTCCCCCACCTCGCCCCTTCTGACATCCAGCATTCTTCTTGACCTCTGCAGCCTTCTGGGTCCCCTTTTCTTCGCCTCCCCCCAAAATCCTTGACCATTTACAAATTTCATGTTCAAGCCATATCTCGCCATGCAACCTTCATCGTCATCCATTACGAAGGCTGAGACCCTGATCAGTGCCCTGGAGCAGTACGGCCAAGGTGATTACATTGGCGAGTCCATTAGCCAGCTCGAACACTGTCTTCAGGCCGCTCATCAAGCAAGCAAGTCTGGTAAGGCGCCCGCGATATAAAATAAGCTTATGTTTGACATTTTGATGCAGGCGCACGGGATGAATTGGTGATTGCCGCCTTGCTCCATGACATCGGGCAAATTATTCCGCTTGAGTCCGTCAAGGAGGTTCGCATGAACCTTCGTGGAAGTAGCGAGAATGTCGGGCGTGTCGGCCATGAGGCGATTGGCGCCACCTATCTTCAATCTTTGGGGTTCAGTGAGGCGGTTTGCAAACTCAGTCAATAGCCATGTCGCAGCGAAGCGGTGCGTGAGCTCATACCGTTTTCATTTCCTCACAATGCTCATCAAGGATAGGTATCTCACAGCCATAGATCGCGCATATTATGACTCACTGTCATCGGCGTCACGAAAGTCACTGGCCTTCCAAGGTGGTCCTTTTGAAGGTAGTGAGCTGCAGGAGTTTGAAAAACACCCACTTCGAGATGAAATGGTGGCTCTGCGGCTATGGGATGATGGAGCGAAGTTGGTTGGAGTGGAATTCATTACTCCGCGTGCACGCTCGTACTTGGACATGATTGCTTCCCACTTATCCCAGCAAGCTACTGTGCGAGGCTAAATCAGCTGCGGTCACAAAAAGGGGGCACGGTGGGTAGACAATAGCGATTTGATAAAGCTGAGATTCACTGTCAACGACGTGCTCTCTAGAGGTCAGTGTCTTACAACGAGATAGTGCGAGACTGGCATGAACTATAGTGGCGATGAATATAACAATATACTGCGTAGGGTTGCATGCGGTGGGCTACTGTCGCACCAGAGATAAAGTACCAATGCTCCTGACTAGGCGGTCGTGAGTTGACTGATTCCGCGCTTTTGACAATGGTATTACCGAAAAGGTCCGAAAATTTCAAGGGAACGGAAATAGGGAGACGCCCCAAGAGATTTTCTAGAATCATTTGACGAATCAATTTGTCAATCGCTCCTAATCTATCATCAACAAGTCGGGCTGACAACGACAGTGATTCGAGCTAGCGCGGGCGCGATCGCAGTATCCAGTTTCCCCGCAGACGGCATACTCTCTTACCAACTTCATGGCCCCCTGTCGACCGCTAAGTATCGTACCAAGACCGGTTGTCTGCAATGCAAGGGAAATGCGGGCACCCAGCTGAGCGGGACCCAGAACTGACAGACTGGGACCCAGAACTTTTGCAGCCACTGGCAACCTGTAAACTCGGATTTTAGCTAATGACTTTTAAGCCATGATGGAGCCTGCTGCCGACGATGTATGTGGAACATTGTTCGAAGCTCGACGAATCGTACTGGATGCCTGCTGCCAGACGATGTCTAAATCTCGTTTTGTACAATTCAGACATTTCAGACGAGTGTCATCACACTTGTTCTTCCATTTCCGACTTGTGTAATTCCAATAAGTCTTACGGCTTATATGAACGGGTGGCCGCCTTTGGGGTCTCTGATAGTCGATGCGGGGCGAATATACATACCGGATTGGCGGAGCATACCCTTTGCTATAATGAATTTACAAGAATTTTCTCACCAAGCCAAGTCTGAGGTAGTCGGCAATGGATAAAAGAGGCACAAGAATACGCGTACAGCTAGACAAGCACAGATGGAACTCTGTGGACCGGGACCGGCCGAGTACAAGAACATTTTGACTTCCTGTCTTTCGGGAGACTGACCAGAACCGTCGACTGTATATTCCACTAACACCGGCCACGGCGGCCCCCGAATCCTCCGCCATAGCCTTCTCCGTATCTTCCTCTGTAGCCTCCCCCATAGCCTCCGCCATAACCTCCGCCATACCGCCCATATCCACCGCCGGGAGGACCATTCATCCTTCCGCCGTGTCCAAATCCACCGCCCATCCCCATCCCACTCATTTCCATTCCACCGCCATGGAAGCGACGACGAGGTACACCAAAGCCACCCATGCCTCCCATACTGCCCATGCCCATGACTGGAAAGCGATTGCGGCGAGGAAATGACATACAAAGGCCCATGACGGCGGGATTATAGAGGTTTCAGGCTGAACTGACTGAATGTTGTGAACGTTTTGGTGGAGGCTCGAAAAATTTCGAGCTTGAAGATTCCTTTTGAGCGCAGGACTCTCTATTTAGCTTTCCGTTGAAGCTTTCCGTTAAGGAGTGAAGAGTATCTCTCATCGATTTTAAACCTGTAGTGTCTCTATATAGCTGGTTCAAGGGTCGTCTGCGTCATTCATTCAATGGCCGCCGCGGTCGACCAATTAGATGCGACGATTCGACTATACTCAACACAGCGTCGATACTTCGATTATGCCTGGAAGGATGCGAAGAATAGGTGTCAGATGATTCCAACAACTATGTTCGTAAGAACAATACAAAAATGTTCGTGAGAATTGCCACCGATATCACTGCGAAATTGTACAACTTGCCGGCTCAGTAATGATATTTAAAGTCCACGGCACCATCACCTGTCTGAACACGCCTGGTATCGTCTTTTTCTCCACTGATGATCTGCTCTTTGATTTTGTTCTCTCGCCGCAAGTACAGTCCGTAACAGGTGACAGCTATCTGCGCAATCACTAGCGCTCCTAGAGAAAAGGCGTTCCCCAACACGTACGGGGACTGACGATAGATCTGACCGGCCACAATACCAGCACAATTACCCATCGTCTGCTGAAGACCGATCTCCAAGGCCCTTCTATACTGCGGTGCAATATTGACGTTCAGCCAGGCGACATTGAGACCGACACCGGTGTAAGTAGTGATGCCAATCAGATATGTCGCAAAATACTTGACTGCAGTATTTTCTACCACCAACAGCAGGATGTACCCGATTACTCCAAATATGTTGGCGAAAAAGATGAACTAAAGATGCGTTAGTCTCATGGTTTGTAAAATGCCTGGAAAGCTTCGAACGCACCGATGCAAACTTCGAATATCTGTCCGAACAAAAGGCGACCGATATGAAAATGACGGCCGCCCAAATATAGACCGGAACAGTCAAGACATTGCTCATCAGAGAATTATACCCCATGCCCTTCAGAATTGTAGGTAAGAATGTACTGAACCCATAAAGAAGAATGTCCTGGCAAAATTGGATTATCCCAGAAAAGAAGAGCTTGGGATCCCCCAATGCAATGCGCATTTCTTCCAAGCTGAATCGTTCACTGCCCATGTATTTCTGCCGTTGCTCGTTCCGGACTCGCATCATCCATTTTTCCTCATCAGTAAGAAAATAGGCCTCTGCTGGGCTGTTCGGCAGTCCAAACCAAATCAAAACTGCACAAACCGCACTAAATAATCCCTCGATAATATAAACCCATCTAGGGTGTGTTAGCAACCTTTCCGTGTCATCTCGTGCGGCGCATCTCAGGTGCACATACCTCCAGCCTGCTTTGCCTCCAATGCCATCCATCTGCAGCAGTCCATATGCCAGAAGACCCCCAACGGCTCCTGAGATAGCAGCACAGCTCATCAGGTAGGATACACGCTTCGCCTGTTCCTCGCGGCGATACACCATGGTTAAATATAGGTTCAAGCAAGGGAAAAGCCCCGCTTCGCAGGCGCCCAGGATTAGTCGAGTGGCATACAGCGAGCCTACTGATTCGATGAAGCCAGTGAAGATCGTGGTCAGGGACCAGACAATACAGAGCCCCGTCAAAATGTTTCGTGGCGTTAGTTTCTTCATGAGCACAGCCCATGGCGATTCAAACAGGACGTATGTCACATAGAAAATAGACACTGCCGTTGAAAACTGACTGTCGGAGGCGTTGATATCTTCTGGCATACCGGCTACTTTGACATTCCCTGCGGATGATTAGCATTCCGATACTCATAAGGCAGACCGCTAGTCTTCCTACCGATGTTCGATCTATCCAGAAAGCATGACAGGTAGGTGAGCATGATGATGGGCACAAATGCAAGATCCAATTTGACCAATAATCTTTTCTCCATCTCGGGATCAAGGACGACATCTAGAGTCTCGCCGGCCGAGGCGTCATCTGGCAATTGATGGTCAACCGGTTTTTGAACAGACAGCCTCTGCTCCAACACAGTGCCATTTTCATGAATCTCAGCGGCCATCAGGTCAGACTCTCAATTTGGCCGAAAGAAAAAAGTCTTTGAAATAGTATTCTTCGATCGACTTCAGAAATCCACGCAGGGTTCGGTAACACTGTCGCATGGTATAAAGATTAGCAAGCGGATATATCACCACACTGAGATACACGACCGGGGGTTCATGCATATCTCTAGCCACCCAGACACCCCGGATAACCTACTCGGACTGACTCCGCTGAGGAGGGGCATCGGGCCGAACGCGTTGATAAGGTGGTAGATCATCGTCAAAATTGCCACTTGTGTGTCAAGCCTCTCCGCTTATCGCGTGGATCCCTCCTGGATAAGGCAGGTCATTGTCTTTCTCTTGTTCAAAGGTTGTTGATCAGTGTTGATAGCCGCTATTGCGGTGGAGAGAGACCCCGAACCTTCCCCAGACCGTCGGCAAGTGGATCCCGACAGGAGGCCCCGTCTCTACGGCGAGGGAGTCGCACGACTTGTATAGCCGAAGAGTTCTTTGCATTTCAGATTTGTAGAGACGAACGCATCGACATACATCCATATCGTTTCATAGTCTTGTGTGTCTATCATGGATGGTATTGATCTCGCACTTAAAGCACGTCTATTGTGTCGCCAGAACCGTCTGACCAACACGTCTGGAGTTGCCCCGGGCTATCTCCAAGCCAATCTACTCGTTCTCCCTTCCAGATATGCCCCCGACTTCCAAGACCTTTGTTTGCGTAACCCGACCTCATGCCCTTTGCTAGGGATGTCAGTCACCCCTGGTGACCCGCACACGATCAAGCCCGCAGGATGTATTCGGTCTGCGGATTTCGACCTAAGAACGGACTTCCCCAAATATCGGATGTACAACCACGGAAAATTCGTTGAGGGCCGCTATGATCTCCTCGATGTGTGGAGCTCAGACCATGTGGGTTTTCTCATCGGGTGTTCCTTTTCCTTTGAAGGTGCTTTGACGGCCGCGGGCCTGCAACCGCGTCATCAAGAGACTGGTTCGGTAGTCGCGATGTATCGCTCAAACATTCCGCTTCTACCGGCGGGTGTTTTCACAGGGGCGCATTGCATTGTCTCCATGCGGCCATATAGGCCAGATCAGATAGAACAGGTGCGAGCGGTGACCCGGCCGTATCTATCCACCCATGGTGAGCCAGTGGCTTGGGGATGGGACGGGGCCAAGCAGCTTGGAATTCTCGATGTTGGTCGGCCTGATTTTGGAGAGCCACAAGTCTTTCGGGAGGGGGAAGTTCCCGTTTTTGGGTCAGTCTCATCAAGCGCCCCTCAAAGTATCAGTGTTGATTTTTGCTTAGGCATGCGGTGTCACCCCTCAGATGGCGGTTGAATCCGCCGGTCATCAGATCGATGGACTGGTATTTTCTCACGAGCCAGCCAGCATGTTAGTGACCGACTGGACGGTTGAGGATATGCGGATGTTGCAGCCGAGTAAGATGTAACCTACAGCTCCAGGTATGCCAGACCACATGCATAAGTCAAATGTTCGTCTCCTCCAAATATATTTCCACAAAGTTAGTTAGCTATATACATATTTATGGCATGATTAGAAGCAGTCTTTCATCACACTTGACAATTCTCCTCCGTAGTCAAATGGAAATCCTCCGTTGGACACTCGTTGCCAGGGGACTTCATCCGGTGCCGGCCCCATGCCTGTTTCAACTCCCATGATCTGTTCATCCAGGTTCCCAACCGCTTCGAACCATGTCATTAGCTCTTGTGTCATTTGTACTCCGTTCAATGGAGTTTGGCTGTTTGTGCCAGAACCTGTCATGGGAAGAGGTGATCCCTGCGGTTGGCCAGGCCTCAGGTCTGCGGGCTCCTCGGCTGGCCGGAGTTTTTGAATTTCTAGTCCTACTTCCGGACCCAGCTTTTGAAGACTTCGGATCGACTTCCAAAGGCGTTGGGAGATATAAGACTTGGTTGAGAACCCCTTGACTAGCTCCAATGCCCAGTAGAATTCCTCCTTGCATGATCCACTAAACTGGGACGGGGCCTGAGACACGGCAAGAAACAGGACTGCCAGTGCAGATACAAGAAACCAGTTGAAAGCCACCTGTTGGAGTCGATAGATGTCCGAGGTCTCGTTGAGTTGGGTGATGAACCGGATCGTTTCCTTGGCGAGGTGAACGACCGTTTCCGACTCGGTCGGATGTCGGACAATGTGCCCAGCGGTGTGCAAAACGGGGCGATAAATGAGCATACGAAGCTGATTCGCGCGGAGATACAAAAGCGCACGAAGGCGCCGAAGGCTTCGGGGGTTTTCCGTGCCCTCAGCAGGCTCGGGTGTGTGATAGTGATCCAGCTGTAATTCATCGGGAATGTCACGTACCCAGCGCAGCACCTGCCAATCCAAATAGTTCATTTCATCCTTTTTGATTTCATTCGTGTTGTTGAAGGCCGAGACGAATTTCCAGACCTTAGCTGCAATTCGGCTATAGCGAATCATGACCCGCAGATATGGGGGTTTTTGCTCTGGCTCGGGCAGCCAAGGGTCGATGTCCGAGTCCTCGAGCGCGAACGGCATCCCTGTCCCAAAGCTCCAACGCATGTCGAGTATGTAGATCGACCAGAACAGTCGCAGAATCCGCTGCTTGTCTCTAGGTAGGACATCTGGTTGACTGAGTGTTTCGCGTCGATGAAGACCTCTCTCCAAACACATGCGCTCCACGATTCCGATAGTCCGCCAAGCGAGTGTCTCCTCGTCCATTTGAAAATACAAGATCGACTATCAGACCAATTAGCAGCGTTTGCACCCTGGTTTTTCCATCGCTCACATACTACCAGTGTGAGAAAAATAATGCGCTTAATCCTAGGTGGGCCCCAAACGCAGTTGTCCTGAACTTCTCGAACACTGTCGAACAACGCAATGGCTTGATCACTGCGACCGCTGGCTTCCGCCGTCAACGCACACGCAAAGACCAATCGGAGAATGTAAACGTCTTCCGGATCCAACAAATGCGGCGACCTCACTTGGGTGTCCGGGTCAGTTGTCTGATCCATCATGCCATAAAGAAGTTCTACCTGATCTAGAAGCTCTGAAAGCTCCAGCACGGGGTACATGATGCCCATTTCCTCCTCATACACACGACAAAGGCGTAGGGCCTCGCTTTGGGAAGGGCCCAGAGCGGATCGACGACCTGGCGAACTTCCGAGTCGTGATGTGGAGCAGACGGTGAAGCGAGTGGTGATGGCTCTTGGGTCAGATCCCCGTCACCGGCGTCAGTGCGCTCGATGATCCCTCGTTGCTGCAGGCTGGACTTGGCCAAGTCAAAGCTAAATGCCGACGTGGTAGGGCCTTGAAAGGGCATCTCCCTCGAGGAACCTCGTCGTAGCGGCCGTTGCGCTGGCAACATCCCGTACGACCCGCTGGCTGGACCGACGACACTCAACCGGCCCACTGGCGAGCTGTCGCTGTTTGTCATTGACCGCACAGCCGCCGACAGCAAAACAATTTGATCCTGCATCGACTTCATCTGGTCAAAGAGTCGCTCGAAATTTCTGTTTCTGTCAGGGCGTGTAATTTGGGTCATTCAACAGGGCTCCTTACCCTTGTGCGTCGACACTTTCTCGGCGGGGGTTTTCCGCGTAAACGCAGTCGATGTGTTGCCTCCCACAACGGTGGCACGGTGTTTGACCATTGCACTTGATTTTGCGGCGCTTGCATTCGTTACTGTGAAGAAAATGAGAATCCAGTTCATGGCGATCTTGAGAGTACGTACCAAGCTCTCGCAATGTACTTTCGTCGTTTCTTACGCGATCGGTCATCCGGCATTTCCTCCTCCGAGACTGCATTCTCCCATTCCCCTTGCGAATTCATTTGGTAGATTGGCTGAGACTGAAGACAGAGTAGAGAGAGAAAAGATAATGACTATCGCGGCGGGGAGAAGGAGGTGGGGGGCGGGGGGGGGCAAAACAGAACCCCGGAATTGACGCCCGGTGGCGCCGGGGTTTGGATTTAGCGGCCGGCTCTGAACAAGGGCTAACGGATTTGGTCACCGATGTTCAAGTTCAGATAGCTACCGGCTAGCTACTAAGTCGCTTACGAATTGCTATAGACTCGCTGAGAACTCGATAATGCTTTGTATGTGCCATGATTATCTTTCAAAGACTCGTCACCTGTGATGGTGATTAATTTGACTGGGTTTTACTCTTATCCATAGGCTTTTCTATCAACCGTAGTATTCACAAGACTCCGTTAATCTCTTTAAAATTTTCTGTCATCAACAAGTTGTAGGAGAATTTTGTCAGAGTCTGTCTTCAAGCTCACAGATCCTTAGTGCGTTCATCACTTTCCATAATCCACTGCTCCAACTTTTTAGGATCGCGCGCAACGAAGCCCACCTTGAACGGTTTAGGCTCTGTGGTCAAGGCCGTTGGGATGGCGTTACACTCAATTGCATCCAGAATTGGCCGGTCTTCGGCTTCCTTGGCCGGGTACATCTTAAATGCAGTGATTAAGCGCAGGAACGCCGTGAAAAGCTCTCGGTTTGCCAAGTGGGAACCGGCACACATACGGGATCCCGCACCGTACCCATAGTGAGGAGTACCAGATGCGTCCCCGAGGTCGAGGTAGCGCTCTGGAATAAATTTGGTCGCATCCTTGAAGTGATCCTCGTCATAGTCAGCGGCATAAGCATTCTAATGGGAGTTAGCACAGTCTCGAAGATCGATAGGAGAATCAGGAGCCCACCATGAAAAAGGTTGTCCCGGCAGGAATGGTGGCTTCCTTCCATTGGATATCCTTAGTGCTCTCGCGAGGCAGACAGATAGGAATGACGGTCCAGAAACGGAGAACTTCCTTGACAAGCGCAGTCACGTAGGGAACCTTCTCTTCAATCAAGCATTTCTCCCAAGCGTCACCATCAGGATACACCTTCATGATTTCTTCGTATGCCTTCTTCTGGATTCGCTGACCATCTTCCGACGCCAGATATGCGATACCCATGATCAGGTTTCCAGGAACAGTATCCAGACCAGCAGACACCATAGTCAGACAGATAGATTTCACCTCAGCTGTGGCACCAGTTAGTATGTTATGGTATAGAGCAGTCATGTCGAAACTTGCCATCATTCAGCTTAGCCTCGGGGTCCTTGAGGATATTGCCCGTGATACAGGGCTTGTCTGTGCCCTTGGCGATACGGTCTTTCAACATGGCCAGAAGGAAGGTCAGATACTTGTCACGACGAGCCCGGAACTCCTGGGCTTCGTTGTTCATTTTGGGCAGAATGCGCAACAGAGGAATGTAATCCTGCCAGTTGTTGGATGTACTGCGGAAATTGGACACGCCGCGTTCGACGTCGCAAATTTCCTTCAGAAGTTGATCATCTACGTTACCCTCAATGCGAAAGCCATAGTTGAGTGTCAGACTGGTGTTGAGAGCGTATCGTTGAAAATATGCGGTAGGGTTCACGTCAAGAGTGCCGTTCTTGCTATCTCGATACAGCTCCTTGATGCTCGTGTTGGCTTCAAGGTCGATGATTGGCATGTACGATTGTGTTGCCGGTCGGTTCAAGGCTGTGGCAGCGGCCTTGCGACGTCGCTTGCAAGATTCATCCCACGGAGAAGTACCAATGGTGAATCCCTGGGAGCTGGAAACAACGCTATGGAAAGTATGAAAAGTCGGTCGCGAAATCAGAGCTGACTGGTCCTTGATCCACAGTTGGCGCACTGAAGCAAAGCTATTGGCAAACACGATGCGCTATCCAGCATTAATTCTTGCACACTTTTCCCCTATCGGGAGTTTCTTTACCTTGTTTCCCATGCGCACCTGGAAGACGGGACCGAACTTCTTGGCCCATTTTGCTGTCACAGTGGCATGTTGATTGCCCAGCTGCAGCAAGTTTCCAAAGATGGGTACCCCAGGAACTTCCGGCAAACCCTTAATCTTAGGCACATCTGTGCGATTGAAGTAACGGATGACAAAGTAGACGACCGTGGCCACGGCGAGGGCAAGCGTTTGAAACGGCATAGTGATGGTTGACGACGAGACCGTCACCCACGGTCGATCTTAAAGCTCAGGATCCGACCGGCGCAATTCCGAAGATCACACTCGGCAGGCTAAGGACGGCGTACATTTGACACGCGCGTCTCTCATGAACCAGTCAAATGTAAGATGAAGGCAAATCCGGGGCCATCGCAGTTCCACTTGGTGCATTTCGTTGCGGGGTTCCACATCCACCGCGGAGCTGCGGAATGAAGCATCCGCGATCCCAAAAGTGTGTCTATTCCTCGGTTGTTTCACCGGCGCCGAATGCCGAACGTCGAATATTCGTGCAATCCTAGTTAATGCTGCGAGCTTTTTTTCTCTCTACTCAAGGAGCGGGCGGAATGAAGCGGGTGAAATCACCGCTCCGGCTGAACGCCATACTTAGGTGGATCTAGTACGAAACGGTCGACCCCACCTCTTTTTATAATCCTGGCCTTAGATTCAAGTCTTTGGGGATATCTAACAAGATATACCCTCAAGAATGACCTCGCCATAGGGACTAGAGCGGTCAATTTCTTCCTAAGAGGACTCGTCTGCTATGATAAGTTCTCTTGTAGATCCTGAATGATCGTCGAGATGGTTCGAATTCGATAATGTTGTTTGGTACATAGTTGGATACTAATGACGGAATTGGGGCCTTGGCCAAGGAGAGGGCACAAACGAAAAATGTGCTTCAGCTTCAAAGCTTGCGACATGTGAAAGATACAAAGGAGACGGCATTCGAAGTATATCCGAAAGGGATATCAACTCAAAGCACACACGCGCGTATTCGACCATGTCAGGTAACAAACATATCAGGTAAAGCGCAGATATAATGGGCAGAAGAATCGACTTGAAAAAATTTAAGATTGTACGGCAGGAGTGGGACATTTAGTATGAGACGACTCATGTAGGAATAGGCTCCACAAGGAACAACCCTGACGAGAAAATGCAGTTAGCAAGCAGGATGCGTCAGCAGCCATAACCAATTATTAGGTGGCACTCTTGCTTAACCGGGCATTCGGATAGTGCGTGTATGTTGCGACATAAGTGGACTAGTCAAGAGGCCTCTGTACTTGCGAAAGCAGTCTTACCGACAAGGTTGATATGCGGGAATTGGGGAAGATAATGCCACCACCCCCGCAAATAGTCAATGGTGTAGTCACCGGCAGACTATCTCACGTTCATCAGGACCTTTATAGTATTGTCAGTCATATGATTTGCCACGCCGTTTTCCTTGGGGACACATATTTTTGGGGCTCAAGAGCGTGCATCAGTGAGCAAATCAGGAAGTGCCCTTGTGTATCCCTCGATCAACTCCTAAATCTGCCTTTAGGCTATATCCTATAGTGACTAGAACTGCATGTGAGGTTTTATTGTGAACGTGGGACTTCCAGTAGCATATCTGCTTAATGATTGGAAGTTGCGTGGGGTAATTTTGTGGTAGAGTAACCATAACGGTGACAATAGTTAATGACATCGCGACCAATGGTAATAGATGTTGCCAGCATACTCCCTGTGTCGAATCGTCCTGTCGCAAGTGGGTTTAGACTCGACAGGTGCGTCTGGTGTCGAGGTCTTCTTGAGGAGCTTTTGCCACCTCGTGGGAGTGGCCAGAGTCCAGGTCTGTTTTGGTGGTGGATAACGCATCCTTCCATCACTTCAATTGTATGGAGCAAATAGATTTGGGCGCGAATTTACGCGAAATAGCTGATCACTCTTTTCGGTAGACCTAGAGCTCGGACAGAAAGAGCTCGAGGCTAACAAGGAATACTTGCTCGTGCGGACCAGCTCCCCGCCCGTTGCCGTGCCTCACGTCTTTCGTCCATGGCGCACAGGTAGCGAGGCAGCTAGCGTCTGCATCCCCATGCCGCGGCCCAGCTTTGCAATGCACTCTGGGGCTTCCGCGATTCCGTCAGCGAATCCAGGTCATTTATTCCGGCCAGCCCAACGATCTCGTCCTCGGCGATGCCGCGTCTACGCCTCCAATTGCGCTCTGTGTTGGTAACGTAGCCATCGCGAAAGAGCTTGCCGTAAAAGGCCTTTGCCTCCTTCCGGGTCCGCACCCGCAAGATGTCGTATGTGCTAAACTGGGTCAGCGCGGCGTCCCGCTCGCAGCTCATCTGGCCATCCACGACGTGCACATAGACTCCGAATGCGCGAAAGTGCGCCCCCCCCCCTCCCAATCCCTATCCCCTGCTCGGCTAAGGTCACGAAGATGGTGATTCGCGTAGGCGACACCGGGAACGCCAGGAGGTACGCGAGGGCGTCTGCGTCCACTCCGGTTGGGACGGGACCGATCACGAAGTGGTCGCCGCGCTGGACAGCCCGCCGAATACGAGGGACGTAGTAGGTGTGAAAGTAGGATTCATCACCTCCAGTGTCAATGGGCCCTGAAATAAAAGCAATCTCGGGCTGTATGGCTCTTGTGGTGGTGGTGGTGGTGGTGTCTGTCATCATGTTGTGACAATTGGAAAAGGAGACAACCTTTGGTGAAATAAAATAAAAAAGGCCCTTCAGACTGATGTCGCTTAGTCCATCTTAGACCCCGTCCTGCAGATAGTAGTTCTTAATACCTTGGTTAAGCAGATTTCAGGAGAGAATAGGTGAGACTGCGCCGTGTGTGTTCTTGGTGAGCCAGGAATTTCGAGTTGCTCTGTTGTAAGACTAGAGAAACGTCCATTCAGGACCTGATAACGGAGGGGGAAGTTCCTTCTTTCTGTTTCCCCCGCGTGTCACTTCCAGGATAGATTTAAAGGACTACTCGATTATTTCACTAGCCCAATGGCCTTCTAAAGACTCCTATGCAACCATGATGATGATGGTGCCATCAGTCCTTTCTCTGCGACGCCCCCAATAGAATCGGCTTTAGTTGACCATAAGACTTGCCCAACCCACCCCGAAAGTTCGAAATGGCAATAGACTCATTGGACTTGTCGAAGATGTAACATCATTCCAGCGGAGTCGCTCCGTCTACGCTTTGGGTTCAGAGTGGCCGTCTACTGGGCCTAAGGAACCAGGCATCAAATGTCGCCGCGAGCAACGTGCAACAACGCGCAAAGTGCAACGCAACGTCCTCGAACCTCCTCGGCGGTATCGTCACAAGTCTCGGCGTCTCCGAGACGTACGATGTCTTCCCAATCTTTTCTCCCGTTATCCTCGCCTCCGACATCGCCCCGACTCCTACCGCGCCGCCCGAGCTTGGATCCCGAGCGGGAGATATTATCCACCAGAGGGCAACAGCGCATCTTGACATTCCTGCCCAGTCGCACCTCTTCTACGGCATTGCACGACTTAGACGAAGAGATCGCCTCCCCGCCAACTTTCCTCCGACGCGGATCCTTATTGATTGGGCACAGTAATCCCCGCTACGAGTGGTGCGTGGCATGACTGCTCTCGAGCGTTCCCCGCTGATCAAAGAACAAGGCAACGTTACTATCGACCACCGGAGACGTTGAAACCCCTTCGAAGATCGGTGTATGTGATCCGCGTATTCCTGACGGATGCGAAGTTCTAATCCCTGACCATAGACGGCAGTACTATGAGCGCACCAACTCGTTAATCTCCCAATATCTTTACATTGATCGCCTCCTGGACTCATCGGTGCCCCACAATCTCATTGAGGACTATAACGAATGCCGCCATTTCGATGCATCTGGCAATCGCAACCAACCATCGCCGCCGGATAGCCCACCAGAGTCGACCGAACAGCCTGAATCCAAAGCTACCCGGATCAAGCGTACCCCGCATAATCTCTATCGAATCCCCGATGAAACGGCGCCTTTGCTTCAACGCGGCGACGATCAGGAAATCACTCACCCTCTGCTCGATCTCGAATCGCATGGTGGAATGTCCCCTGAGAAGGAAGAGCATTTGATCAACTTGGCCATTCGTATCAACTTCGCCGCGAATGTTGCGCTGCTAGGTTCCAAAATAGCCATCCTTGTGCTCACTAATTCTATGTCAATGCTGGCGGGTCTTGTTGATGGCGTTCTGGATTTCCTGAGTACTGTCATCGTGTGGGTGACCACTGTCATGATCCGCCGGCAAGACCGCAACCAGTATCCCATCAGTCGCCGACGTTTGGAGCCGGTGAGTGTCTTGGTCTTCTCGGTCATCATGGTCACTTCTTTCTTCCAGGTGGGTTTGACCTCCTTCAACAAACTTGCTGGAGAGGATCATACGGTGGTAGAGCTCTCACTTCCTTCCATATCTTTGATGGCAGGAACCGTCCTGGTCAAGCTATTTTGCTGGGTTTGGTGTCGCCTCATTCCTAGTCCCGGTGTCCAGGTACTGGCCCAAGACGCAATGACAGATGTTGTATTCAACACCTTCAGCATCATTTTCCCACTCGGTATGGAACTCGCCCCCAATCTTGCTTTCACAAAAAGTGCCCTAAACTGAATATCAATGATAACAGTCGGCTCGTTCACTAATTTGTGGTATCTGGACCCACTTGGCGGGTTGCTCCTCTCGGTGTACATCATGTGGAACTGGGGTTGGACGGCAGGCGAATACATTCATCGATTGACGGGAGCAGCGGCGTCACCCACCGACCATAGTATATTGCTCTACATGACCATGCGATTCTCTCATGTCATTCGGAAAATTCAAGACCTGAAGGCATACTACGCAGGAGACAAGCTCAACGTCGAAGTGGATCTAGTCGTCCATGAACAAACTAGTCTACGTGACGCTCACGATGTAGGTGAGAGCTTGCAGTACATTATTGAGAGCGTGCCCACCGTGGACCGTGCCTTTGTGCACCTAGATTACGATGAGTGGAATCTTCCAAGCCATATGAATCAGTTGGACCGTTAGTTAGCTATGACGCCCAGGCCAGGTTTGCTGTGACTAGCTACTTTCAAAAGTTAATCAAACACATGACATACATCAATCATTTATCTTACTGTACATTAAAACACAACCCCATGGGACGATCAGGCAAATATGCCAAAAATCACAGAAGATGGTCGACATAAGAAGAACACCTAGCCTTTCCACATGACCAGACGATGAGAAAGGCCCGTGGTCAAGAAGAGATACGCATAAGTCGGCGACACCGGGGCTTAGCGAGGCGGCTGCGAAGCTGGATGCAACGGCCCCGGCATTCCACTTTGTGACGATCCTTGGCTGTAGACACGATGATGCGTCGGCGCCGAAGGAGGCTCACCCAGCGAGCCTTGACCGGATGGCCGTTGAAGGGGCGGAATCGGGCCTGATGTCGCCGGTGGGGGTGGCGCATAGCCCATTCCGCTGCCGGGAGGATGCATGGCTGCTGGTGGAGTGTATGAGCGACCGAGAGTCGCGAGTGACGGCATTGATCGGCCGCCCTGTGCCTGGGGTGGAGGAGTACTATGTCCGTACTGAGGAGGCCCGCCAGTCAGGCCGACAGGGGTCGTGCGGTGCGATTGGTGTGAGACACTGACCAAGGTCTGCACGTGTTGCTGATAGCTCTGGTTGTGCGCTTGTGACGAAGCAGGAGTGGATGACGCGACTGGGGCATAAGAGGACTGAGAGGCAGGCTGGCGGGGTGTGAGGCCAAATAGGCTGGCCGAGGACTGAGCAGGCGTCGATTGTTCCTGTCGGGAGCCAAAAGCCACACTGCTGGCCCGTGATGGGGGAGAACTGGGGCGATATACAGATGACTGAGACGGTGCTTCACGAGACCCAGAGGGTGCAGGAGTCGGCTGCGAGAAGACATGGGGGGTAAGAGGAACGTTGGGAAGCTGGGGGCGGTGTTGGGGCGGGTGAGGGAGCGGAGATGCTGCCCAATGAACCTGACGGTTGCGTCGGACCCGACGTGTACGGCGAGAAGGAGCTCTGGGAAGCCATGGATGTCGATCCACGGCCACTTGGCGGCGGGGGCTGTGATTGTGAGGGCGGGCCAGCTTGTTGTGCCCGAGGATCAAACCGTGCCATCCAATCGTTGTTCGCTGGTGTCCCTGAGCCCCCTGGCGGAGGTCCGTAATTCGAGTATTCTGGATAACCACGCGAAGGTGTTGCATATTGGCTCTGTTGAGAATAGCTCGATGGCTTTGGCCCAGCACCTGAAATGAGCGCCTCATCAGGGCGAGTAGAGCCAGCGTTCTGGTAGGCCGATCTCGATATAGACGAGCTAGACACAGGGGCAGAAGTTGTCTGTTCACTAGCGACTCGCTTTCGTGGCTGGGGATCCTCTGGCTCATCATTGAGAATACTCATGATATTGGAGCGCTTCGCGGGAACCTGGCGAGAGGTTGGCTCAGGAATCGGTGTAACGCTCGGGCGAGGAGCGTCTTTGACAGGAGATAGAATAGGTCGTGGTGATTGAGCGAGTCCAACTGACTGGCCGGGGAGCTGGTAGTATTGTCTCTGACCGAAGGGGTCACGGTGAATAGTAGAGAAATCGAGCTCGGGCCGAGCAAGTGGTGTTGGTGATCCTGGGGCTTGAGTCTGACTCGGGTGGCGTGAATGCGACGAAGGATGAAGCGACGGCGGAGGCTGGGTAGACATGTAGCCCTGCGCGGATAGAGGATCCATGCGGGCCAAGTCTGATGGTATAGGTGCTCCGGGGTTTTGTCGTGACAGGATTTGCATGTCCGGAGCTCGAGGATTCGAGTGGCCCATCATTGAATCCCGGCGGTCTTCGGTGAAGTACCCAAGACGCGGTCCTTGTATGCGATGGGCTGGCCCAGGCTGATTGCGCATCGCTCGTGAAGCATCCTCGCCAAGAGTAGAGGTTACGCCCGACACTTGACCAGCGTTGGACGCTTGTGCAAGCGCTGGGTAGCGGCTCGAGCCCCTTTCGCTGTCAGATATCGGTCGGGCATGAAGAGGCATAGGCTGAGGTGACATGGCGAGAGGCTTGCCCTTCGACGAAAACCGTGCCTCATCAGCCTCAGTCATTAATTCCCCATGAGGAGCAAGAGGACGAGGAACAATGGCTGATGGTGTGGCCTCATACCGGCGTTTGGGTGCAGAAGTAGGCACAGGCAAAGCACCAGTTGGCTCGCCACGGGCTTTCTTATCCTCGGCAATCAGAAGAGTTTCCTCAAAGTCTTTCTGCCCCGAATCGAGCCGGCGCTGGTAGTAATTTTTCACCTAAATTCCTGGGGTCAGCATGCCGCACAAAAAAAAACGAGATGATAAAATGTACCATGACCGTTGTCTTGGTCTTCATAAAGTTTGAGATACCCTCGAAGTCCCGTCCAAAATGTGCCAGCAAACGGGGAAAGTCTCGTTGTTCCGGTACAGACCAGTAACTGGTCGGTTGCATACCGCCGTATCCAGTCTCCATTGATTTCGCTGGCATTATAGTGTCCGCTTCAGTTGTATCGAAGACGTACATACCCTCCTTAGCTCTTCCCCGTACAGTCCTTGAACGCGGCATTTGCGGGTTGAGTTCCTTTTCAATGAGTTCTCGGTCCTGGGGCACGATAGTCTCCACTATCCCATCCGCACTTTATATCCATCTGTGGCATGACAGCAACGGGGGTGGTACTTTGCGGAGTTGGTCCCTGTGATTTCTGATCTGGCTGAGTAGTCTTTCCACGGCGTGGGCCCCGAGTGCCTCCGGCCGTTCGACCACCGCGCCTGGATGCAGGTTTCTCAATGAGCTCGCCATCCTTGCTGATCTGGCCTCGGCGCCCGGAGGCAGAAACTTCGGGCTCATTATAATCGCCAAAAGTCGGCGCTGCTGCGCGTCGTGGACGTCCAGTGTCGGTCACAGGAGCAGGCTCCTCCTCGCCATCGAAATCCGGCTTGACTACACCCAGGTCCGCAATGAGGGCATTGGATTTGGGCCGGGTGGACTTCTGTTTCCCTCTACCGCGACGGCTCCATCGCTTGTTGAGTTTCGCTTTGTACTTTATCTCTTCCTTGGTGAGATAGTAGTGGATGATACACTGCTTGAAAGTACGACCGGGCAAAGACTCGGCGATTTTACCCCATTTCTTGGGGTGCGCCATGAAGGCATTGGTGAAAATCTCGTGTTCCTTCTCAGTGAAGTCGTTTCGAGGGGGGGATAAAGCCGAAGACATCCAAAGCATGGCGGGCTTCGACGATATTGTTTACATCCTTGTAAATGCGAGCAATCTCCTCCTCACGCTCTAGCATATCTGGAATGATTGCCTCGCGGCTCAAGTCAGGGCGAGCCGTCGCCATTTTGGTTCTGCGTCGTTCTAGCTCTTCTTGCGCAGAAATTTCGGAGGCTCGCAGCGCATTGAGGAAGTCAAGCTCGCTATTTCCCTTGTATCGTCGACTCTCGCGTCCTTCTTGTGTGGGTGCAGGGGACACAGGAGCCGGGGGGGCGGGTGGCGATGCAGGGCCCGGAGTCATTGGCTTCTTGTCCTTGAAACGGTCCAACTCCCAAATCGCCAAACGCCAGGGCTTGTAATAAGACATGTATTCGTCCCGAAGCACGGCATTTTTCTTCGCTATTGCCTTTTGTTTCTTGGAAAGCTCGCTGGAGAAGGTGTTTTTGAGGCGCTCCTGAATTAGAACATTTTCGCGGCATACTTCCAAATCGGAAAGAGGAGTAGGAGGGCCAGAATTCAGAAAAGGTAGACTCTCAATCGTGATCTGAGGGTCTGACTCTGCAGTGCGAACGACAGCCTCTGTCTGGGCCTCAGGTTCGTGCTGCTCCGGCTTGGGGTATGGGTCGAATGTGACCACAGGCTCATTACCTGGCGCATGTGAAGTCTCTTCCTGCTCGACTGATAGAAAGGGAAGGGAGACTGGTAATTGCGGCGAGGGTGGCTGCTGTTCCTCTTCATGGGCGAGCATACCCAGCAATTGGATTCGAAGCAACAAGGAAACAATGATGGGATCTTCTAAAGGGGGTGGCGGCATCTCAGCTCGCAGGAGTTGCATGTCTCGTTCAAAAATCTGCTTTTCGCTCCTCTAGGTATTCTTGATTGAAAACCACGTTCTCTTCCTCCTCCTCGTCAGATTGCCCAAAGCCGGGGATTGGAGCAGAGTCTTCGTTCTCACCCTGCTCTGATTTTCCCTTCTTTGGAGCCTCCACGGTGGAAACCGGCACAGGCGCGGGGCTGGTACGAATGGGAAGCTTCATGGAAGGCGAACTTGGTGAGGTGGGGTTTTCAGCGTCATCGGTAGCCATCGTGTCAGTCTCCTTTTCATGCCCTCGAAGTGGCGAGCTTGGTCGGTGGATTTGACGCGGTTTGTCGTCGACCGGAAGAAGGCCATTATATTCGTCGGCATCCCTTTTGGGGGGGCAAACTCGACACAGATGGTGCACGGCTGGACATTGGGTGAGCCCAGGGCTTGTTAGCTTTATTCGGCCCCCTCGGTGAAGCGGCCGGTCTTGGGTGGTATGCTCGTGGACCCGTGGGAATTGTTGATGACTGCATTCTCGGGGAGATGGAAGTTTCCCGGGATGAAGCTCGCGGGCCCGGCGGGGGAAGTCGTGCAAAGTTGGGAGACATGTTCATTGAGGTCGGCTTCGTCATTCTCTGCACTTCGCCATGGCTGGAAATAGAATCACGCTTGACCATAGCTGCTGGAGCTGTTGGTGGAGATCGGTCCGAGACATGAGTAGATAATTGGGCAGCACGAGATCGTTCATCTTTCTGGTGGCCGCCATCCGAGGAATAGAGAATAGGATCTGGAGACCGCTCGACTCGTTCGGCTCTCGGGCCCGTCGGAGGTTGCAATGATGGACGACGTGGTCCATCTGATCGATCTTTCTCAATCTGCGGGAAAGATTCATTGATCGGCCGCCCTTCAGATGGGCCTTTGTCTGTCGGTAGAGGCAATATGGGAGCAGAAACAGAGCCAAAAGCAGGAACCTGAGGAGCGGATGGAGGTGGTGAGTGTTGAGAGATGGTGTCCAGATCTTTGGGAGCTTCAGGGCGAAGAGTGGCGGGTTCGGAGCGTTCGCTATCACGTCGGGTTTCTATTCCGGCTGACCCGGAGACAACTGATGCTTTTCGGGCCTGGTCTAAGAAAGGGACGTCTGGCATTCGGTCACGCGTAGGAGGACCTGTTGGCAGTGGCATGGTATTGGGATTTGAAGGGTTGATCAAGCTGATCGGACCACGACTGGAGGCTCGGCTCGGGGCTCGTTCCCGCTTCCAGGGCTCTAAGGGCCTTTCCCGATCATCACGATCGGGGCGCCGAGGATCCCAATCATCCCGTCGGTCAAATCGCTCCCGTCGCTCTTGGTCGCGGTCCCGATCTCTCTCGCGGATATCCCGCTCGCGCTCTCGGTCGAGCAAACGATCGCGATCCATCTCTCGCTCTCGTTCACGATCAGCCGGACGATCTCGACCTCGGTCCCGCCATACATCGCGGGAGCGACTTCTTCGTCGGAATGGCGGCTCTCGATCATCCATGTATGTTGGACGGCCTCGACCTCGGCCTCCTTCCCAATCCCCACGTCCACGTCCTCGCAAAGAGCCACCGCGTGGATGACCGCCACTGGAGGGCGGGCCGTCGGGGCCGCCTGATGATGCCGATAATAGACTGTCACGGGAGTTGCGTCGCATGCGAACCAAGTCAAAATCTCGTCCGGGGGGGATCTCTCAAGTCACGGAAGTCGCGCGTAGGGGAACGTGATCGGCCGCGGCCAAAGCCCATTCGGGGCGCATCTCGAGGGTCGAAGTTACGGTCCCGGCGTCCCCAGTCCCGATCCATGTCGCGGCGGAATGGGGGCGCATCGCGATTGTCTCGAAAGTCGCGATCGCGGTCGCGGTCTCGCATGTCTCGGTCACGGTCACGGTCACGATCTCTAAAATCACCCCGACCATAGCCGCGACCCCGACCACCACCAAAGCCCCCTCTAGGAGAATCAACCAGAGCTCGGGGGCCACGGGGGGGGCTCCCTGTCAAATGAAGGGCTCCCGTCATCAGGGCCACGGGGACCGACAGGCGCGCGACGGTCCCCGAAGCGCGGTGGAGAGCGGTCACGGGAGTTAAACCCGGACGAAAGGGGAAATCGAGACGACATTACCAGGTCATGCTCTGGGATGACCTGGAGCGGGTGAGTTGAAGAGCTTCAGGGAATGAAGATTCCAATACTAATTTGGGGGTCGCACGTGACCGTGCATGCACGGGCCACGTGAAGATGGGTCCCCCTAAATGGGGGGGGTCAAAAAAAGTAAGCCTCACTGCAGCGGGCGAGCCAGGCACGTATGCACGTTATGCGGGGGCGAGGGGATATGTGGTTCCGCCATGACTCTCATATTCAAAGTGACAAACCACGTTGAAAGACTGGCTCAGGCCACAGCTACAGTATGGCCATACCCGCGTGTTCGAAGATCACGTGTGGCAAACCTGACACAGGCAAAGGGTCGACCCGGGTGCACGGAAATGGGTCTCGCAAGGGCTCGATCGGGAGAAACGATCTGCTTCAATGGTGACGATCGAAGAAATACGTGCCCAATTATAAGTCCCTCCAGACCCGGCTTATGTTCGTATTGTGGCCTAATGTACAGTATGAGCCACATTTCGCCATTCTTTCCAAGGTCTGCCTTTTTGATCATTCCGCCCATGCGTGATGTTGTTCCTTTTGCTCGTCCTTGTCTAGACTCAGTATCCGCTCAGTAAGCGTCCGGGCATTATCAGTAGAGTCAAGGCCATCTGTCAAACCCTTAATGGGCAAATGCCCATTGTCCCAAGTCCCTATACTCAGCTCATTTGACACATTGCAAAGGTAGCCAGACTCGGTCAGACCATTGATTGCCTCAGGTGTCAACATGTGCCTGACGATAACATTTTCCCCGCTTAAAAAAATATCTCGAGAGTCCTAACCCAACCCCTCCAGCATCAATTATTGTGGCAGGAGGCCAGCCACCTTGTGGACCCGGTGCATCTTTTACACCACTAGTCCGCAATAATTCTCAAATCAACTCTTCCCCTTCTCTCTCTTCTCTTGCATTCCCTCGTTCACAATGAGTCCCGAACCCGTCTCCGCACCCCCCCGCTTCGGCGACTGACTCGGTCCTGCTTGCCTCTGAGCCCATCCCCGAAGGTACCAAGGAAGTTTCTGGTGTGGACTTCGATCGGTTCCAGGGCCGAGACATCACTGTGGCCGAGCTGGTCGACAATCTGACCAACACTGGCTTCCAAGGAAGTGCCGTTGCTGAGGCTGCCCGCATTATAAACGAGATGGTACGCTTGTGACTCGGTCAATTGCACCCATGTTGCATATTCTCAGGATATTAATTCACATATATCTTTAGCGTGCTTTCCGCCAACCCGAGACTGGCGAGAAAACCACCATTTTTCTCGGATATACCTCCAATCTAATTTCCTCCGGCCTTCGAGACACCCTCCGATATCTCGTCAAGCACAACCACGTGTCAGCAATTGTTACCACTGCAGGTGGAGTTGAGGAGGATATCATCAAGTGCCTCGCGCCGACCTACCTCGGAGCGTTCTCAACACCTGGTGCCGGGCTACGGGCCAAGGGTCTCAACCGCATTGGCAACCTTCTGGTGCCAAATAACAACTATTGTGCCTTTGAAGACTGGGTGGTGCCGATTCTGGATACAATGTTGGAGGAACAAGAGGCGGCGAAACTCAAGGCGCGGGAGACGGGTAATGAGGAAGATGAGCTCCACTGGACACCGAGTCGCATCACCGAAAGATTGGGCAGGGAGATCAATGACGAAGGCTCGGTTCTCTACTGGGCGGCCAAGAATAACATCCCCGTGTTCTGCCCAGCCCTGACCGATGGGTCTCTAGGAGATATGCTCTACTTCCACACCTACAAGTCATCGCCGCAGCGGCTCCGAGTAGATATTGTGGACGATGTGCGACGCATCAATTCGATGGCGGTGCGAGCAGCGCGGGCCGGCATGATCATTCTGGGCGGCGGTGTGGTCAAGCACCACATCGCCAATGCGTGTCTCATGCGGAACGGAGCCGAGCACGCCGTCTATGTCAACACGGCGCAGGAGTTCGACGGGAGTGATGCGGGAGCCAGACCGGACGAAGCTGTGAGCTGGGGCAAGATCAAGACGGATGCTCAGGCTGTCAAGGTGTACGCCGAGGCTACCGCAGTATTCCCATTGATTGTGGCGGCCTCATTTGCGCGGGCAGCCCCGCCGCCGAGCTCTCAGAATTGAGGACGGTCGGATCGCCGACGCGGCAATGCAGGGTTCCGCGAGACCCGACGTCTGGTTACTAATCACGACCATCCCGACACTCCGCCCGATTCTCGTGGACGATGAAGATGCCATGTCCACACATGAAGAGAAGACGGCACCGATGCCGAGGAGCATATCTCCCGTGCACACGCGCTCAGATATATCCCATCTCACACAAGCAAATGACGTTGATGCTACAGCCTGACAACTGAAGTTGTCTCTGTTGTTACGGTATCTTCACCCCCCTATTCTTCTTTTTTTTCTTTCCTTTTTTCCCTTGTTTGGCTTTGGACAGGGACGAGACCAATCGCAGGGATAGCCGGCTCATCGGATAATCGGCCACCGTACAAGGTCCACAAGGTGGCAAATCAGTGGCAAGGAAAGGATTTTCGAGAATGTCAACTAAGTTAGTCATCCGAATATAGCAATTCCCATTTAAGGTTGGCTCCCTATGTGGAGTCCGGATCCACTGCCTCATTGCCGATCACGAGGGGAAGACACCGCCAGTTGGCACATCAGCGAAGGGATGAGAGACAAGCATGAGGGGAGAATGATCGAATGATTGGGCCAGACCGACAGATCGATAGAATTGAAACCGAGATAATCCCCTTAGGGAAAATTCCCAAAATTCCAAAATAAGACCAGGACACCAGAAAAAAGCAACGAAAAAAGACCGCGGCCCCACTCACCCCCGGACTTACTGTACTCGTCTTATCTTTCGTTTTTTTGTGCCCATCCTTTTTTTTCCCTTGCCCCATTTCCACTCTGCACTTGACACTCAACACTCTCTAATTCCTTCGTTTCCCTGTCCTGTCACTTCTCCCTTCTGTCAACTCCCGACCCTCCCATTCATCCTGTCATATACTTTCGCTTGCCTATCATAGACGGTCTTTTCCATCCTTATCTCCTCGGTGGATCGCGGTCGTGACCTAAACGTCTAGTTTGGTCTGATCTGCTTCTGGACTGTGACCTTCAATCTGCCTCATCTTCTCCTTAAGAGGCTCGAGTTGTGGATTATGGATCCCTCACCAGACCCGGTGAACAATTGGTCGGTCTCCGAGACGAGCGCCAACTTGGAGTCACCCAATTCAATTTCAAACCCTCCCGACACGAATTCGATTCAAAGTGCAGTCAATGTCGTTCTACCGTCAGTGCCTGTGAGCCCATCGCAGCCTCGAGCTCCTACCCCATCGCCGACTGTCTCACCCGGTGAAGAGATCGAACATGCATACTGGGCCGAGTTCCAAGAGGACACAACTACCCCAGATGAGGAGGAGTTGAAGGAGATCGACGGCGCGGATGCCGATTATAGTGCCTGTGATTGTGAGTTCAACCCCAATCCTTTCCTCCTTGACACGAACGAGATGAGCCGATCACTGACAGCGTGGCAGATACGTATTGGGAGAACAATTTCTTTCGAGACCTGGATGATCCTGAGTATGTCCCTGGGGAGAAAGCTCGCGTGACGTGGACTATCAAGGGTGTTCGGGGTACGCCAGAGTCTCCCAATCGGGCCAAGGTTATGCGATCCCCAGCCGCCTATATCGGAGGTTACTGGTGGCGAATCAAGTTCTATCCTCGCGGCAACAACGTGGGCTCTCTAAGCATCTACATCGAATGCTCTCCGACTTTGCCCGCGCCGGACGATACTCTTCCCGACACCGAGTTTACGGTTCGCCGGAGCACCTCCGATGTCAGGTTGAAAGATAGCATCCCCGATGTCAGCCTCAAGACACCCGCAACAAATGATGCCGCCGCCTGGCAGGAAGATTTCATGTCTCAGTATCCTGTTACGACTACGGCCCCCCGAATCACTCAAGATGACCCTGCTAGTCCGTGGCGAGTGGCGGCACAGATTGGCGTTATCGTGTACAATCCCGAAGAGCCTCGAACGGGATGGATGCAGTCTTCATGCCACCAATTCAATCCTCACAACTTGGACTGGGGGTGGACTTATTTCCATGGCCCGTGGGATCAGATTCATCAGCGTCGTCGGGGCCAACATCGTGCCTTGTTGAACAATGACACCCTTTCGTTCGATGCTTATATCCGTGTGGTCGATGACCCAACCCGGTCTTTATGGTGGCACCCAAGCGACGCCGAACCTACCTGGGACAGCCTGGCTTTAACTGGATATCGTCCTTTGGGTGATTCAGTGATCAATCACAGTGCTGAGGTCGCTGGTCTGGCTTCATGGCTCCACATTGCTCCATTCTGCAAGATTATCCAGAAGGTGGATGTTCTCGAACATCTTACCAACTGCGACGTCAAGCCCAAGCCTCTGTGTGATGCTCTTCAACGGCTCCTGTGGCAGTCGCGCCGTCGCACTCAATCTCTTCAGTATATTGACACTGATGGCATTACATCCACCTTGCGCAATCTGCGTGAATTTTCAAGTGATGTTTCAGAGTTCTGGGAACGCCTCCGTCGGACACTCGAATTGGAATTGGCGGGCACCGATGCCCGCAAGGAACTCGCCGAGCTCTTTGACAGCCCATCTCCAGACTCGGATTCTGTCAACACACTTCCCACAGATTTCAACTCTCGTATCTGTGTTCGGGCTGATGAGGTCAAGTCCACTGGTGAGGCTGTGAAGGGATATCTGGAAAAGAAGCCCGGCTCTTGGACACTCCCGCCTGTGCTTCATATAGAACTTGGCCGCCATACCCTGGATAAGGCCATGCGCTGGCAGTTGTGTTTCAACAAGGTGGACCTAGATGAGGAATTGGATCTGGCGCCTTATATGGCCGACGGCCAAGGCGGCAAATATGTTCTCTATGGCTATGTTGTTCACCGTGGCCGTCGCACTTCGGGCAAGTTCTTCAGCATTCTTCGTCCCGCCGGTCCAGGAACCAAATGGCTCGCATTCGACGATGGCAGTGACAACCGCGTTGAATGGTTAACCCAAAAGACTGCAATGGGCCCTCATCTTGGTATTGATGCTTCACAGACTGTGGATTACAAGAAGGGCCATGATGTCCCCGTGGTGGCCATGTATGTGCGCAGTGACATGGTGTCAGAGCTCCTGCCTGGTCCTCAGGGGCCTTGGGAGGTGTCAGAGCCTATGAAACAGTACTATGAGACTGGTGTCTATCCGTTTGCCCCAGTCAAAGATGCGGCGCTAGTGAAGGATGATGTTCAGGTCGAAGTGTACTCCACGAGAGAGTATGGTCATCTGCCTAGCCTCTTTGACACCTACGATCTCATGTCTCATTCTCAGAAGGCCAACGGTGTCATGTATATGAATCTGCCTCGATCGTCCCGCATTGCTGAGCTCCGCAAGAAGCTCTCCTTGTGGAAATCGGCCGGACAGGAGCTTGTTGGACCTGAGCGCGTACGTCTTTGGCACATCGGGCACACTCGCGCTCAATGCGGGCCTACCCTTGCGTTTGACCTGATCTCAGACATGAATGCTCCCTTGATTGCATCTGGTGGCACTCTTCGATTTTGGATGGAAACGATCTCAGAAGGTAAGTGTAAGTCCGTACCTGTTTGCCAGGTCTCACTAATGTATCAATTCCAGAGGATGCCAAATTTTTCGCGATTCCGGATCCACCTTCATTGTCAACAGCTGAAGACAAAACTGAGGAATCTATCATTGAGCGGGCTATTTCGGGCAGCCCCGAACCACAATTATCTGAGACCGATGGAGACGCTGTTGCTAGCTCTTCCAGTGGTATTCATGAGGTTGTTGTCCCAACAGCCGAAAATCTGGACGCTACTAGGAACGGGTCTTCTTCACCTCCGCTTGCGACCTCATCTCCCGACATTGACGCTTTCACGGAAGAGAGAGCTGAGCATGATGCTGTCCTTGCTGTGGTCGCGGCCCACGATCAGCAAGTCACAGATAGCGCCTCCTCTAATACTTTTGAAACAAGTCATTCTGGCGCAGCCCCCACATTCGCGCATGTCGAGACTCCTGTACTAGAGCCTGCAATTGCAAGCTCTACCGAACCAGAGGTGACACTGCCGGTCGGACATGCGTATTATTTCATCCAGATATTCGACGCAGACGATCAGGTTCTTCGCACGGTGGGCTCTTTTTTCTCCAAGCTCGAGGCCAATGTCAAGGCGTCCATTCGGAAGCACCTGAAGTGGCCCATCCGCCGAGATTTCCTTATGTGGAAGCGAGTTGATGGCACCACCGTGACGACCGTGTCCCCGGCCGATAATTTCCTAGATGTTGTCGTTCCCCATGGCTCTTGTCTCATCGTTGGAGACAAGTTGAGCAAAGAGAAGCGCTCCCAGCTTAGCGTCTCTGGCCTGTTCTCAAGCCCTGATCGCCTGGTCCAATACCTGTGGGCTAAATCGCGCAATCACCCGATTCAAGGCTTCACCGGTACCAAGACGATCGAGGCCACTTTCACCAGCGACTATTACACCGGAGACATCTTGAAGGGATACTATCATGGTCACGGCAAGCACTTTTCGGGCACGGGAACCGTCTACGAGGGCGACTTTGTCTTCGGACAGCGCTATGGTTCAGGCAAGATGGAATATCCGACAGGTGATACTTATGACGGTGATTGGGTCGAGGATGTGCGCCACGGACAAGGCACCTATGTCGAAAAGAAGACGGGCAACAAGTATGTCGGCGGCTATAAGGATGGCAAGCGACACGGCAAGGGCATCAGCTACTGGGAGGTGGCTGATGAAGAGACGGATCTCTGCCAAATTTGCTATTCCGAGGAGCAAAACGCCGTTTTCTGCGACTGTGGCCACGTCTGCTCTTGCGTGACCTGTGCCAAGCAGGTGGATCTGTGTCCGATCTGTCGCAAGACCATCAAGAGTGTCATCAAAATTTACAGGACTTAGCAGGGTCCGAAGCACTGCGGAGTTTTGGAGCATTCTGGCTTTCAAGCCCGGTCTGTTTTCATGTGCACAAGACCATGGAGTGGCCATTGCAGCACGAGATCTTTTCTTGAATCAATTAGCGACTGGTCAGTCGGGGCAAAGGCGAGTGTTGTTTTTGTTGTTTTTTTTGGAGTTATTTACTTCTCATTTTGGCTATCACTGCACGCCACTATTGATGGACATACACGTCATACATAGACATACATGTGTAACATTACGTTAGACGCTGAATTGAACGTTTTTTTGACATTGAAAGAATCTAACGAGGTATATGTCCATATGCGCCATCCACCCAATTGAAAGAAGATGCTTTTCAACTTGCCAGAGCTATACATACACATGAGACGCTCAAATGTCAAGCGCTTATTTGGCCGCCTTCTTGGCCTTCTTCTCCTTCTTGTCGCTCTTGGTCACGGTCTTCTTTTCTCCCTTGGCCTGGTTGGAAGATTTCCCGGGCTGGTCCTTCTTCGTAGCCTCAGCCTTGGGCTCCTCCTGGCTGGGCTCAGCAGGCTTCTTTGAAGCATCTCCCTTGGCCTTCTTGGGCTTGACTGCCTTGGGGTTGAGACCCTTACGACGCAGACGGTTACGCTCAGCACGTTCAATTCTATCCGCATCCTCAATTTCCTCGAAAGGTCCGAAGGCACCGCCCTCGAAGTCCATCGCGTCTTCTTCTCCATGGCCGATAGGGGTCTTGTCGATCTCATCATCGGTAGAGGTAGCCTGAGAGCTGGCACGAGCCGGTCGGCGTTCGCGAGCAGTGGTCACATCGGTTGGCTTGACCGCAGGGGTAGGACCGGTCTTCTTCAGTTTACAGACATAGAAACCGTCGACATTCTCGCGGTGCGGGAAGTAACGGCGGGTAAGAGCCATCTTGGCGTCGAATTTTTTGCCCATGTAGCTGATGAATCCCGGGCTACCAAAGTCGCCCAGACCGGTGTCGACAATCTTGACGTTGGGTCGTTTGCGCAAAACGTACTGCACGACTGACTCGTTCTCCTCGACAGTGACACTGCAAGTTGAGTAGACGACATATCCACCGGTCTTGGAATTATGGTCAACAGAGTCGATGGCGGCCAGGAGCAGTTGTCGTTGCATGTGAGGAATGGCCAGGAAGTCACGCTCATCTTTGGAGGTCTTGACGCCGGGATCCTTAGAAATGACGCCTGTACCGGTGCAAGGAGCATCAAGAAGCACACGGTCAAAGCCACCCATAGCCTTGGGGAAGGCTGTGCGGGCATCCATGTTGGTGACGATAGTGTTCTTGCATCCCAAGCGGTGAATGTTACCGATCAAACCCTTCGCACGGGGCTTGCTGGCATCGTTCGCGATCACAGTACCGGTGTTGCGCATCAAGGCAGACATGTAGGTAGTCTTACCACCGGGGGCGGCGGCCATATCAAGACAACGCTCATTGGGCTGAGGAGCCAGTGCCATGACGGGCAGGAACGAAGACGCAGCTTGGAGAATGTATTGACCGGCGAGATACTCAGGAGTAGCACCCAGAGGCACGGGAGACTCGAAGACCTGAAGACCGACCTTGGACCACTTGCCGACAGGCTCGAGCACGACACCACGGTTGATCAAGGCTTGAGCAAGGGAGCGACGATTTGTTCGGAGGGTGTTGGTACGGATGACAACAGGGCGGGGAGTCTCGTTAGCCTCGAAAAATGCGAATGCTTCCATCGGTGTAAACAAATTGAACAGCTTCTCGGCGAGGAATCGGGTGTAGCCGTAGTATGTGCAGATGTCGCCGAGCAGGAGATCGACGTATTCCGCACGCGACTTGCCGGCCTGTCCTAGGGTCTTCAGGTCTCCGAGAATGCGAATCGTGTCTGTGATGCGCTGGCGCAGGAGTTGCAGATCCGGGCAAGACCCTGCTGGGCCTGGTCGGCAAAGACATCGGGACCGTCGCCGGCAATGTTAGTCTGCATAGCCGCGTCTTGTAATTCCTGTTCAGCCTCCTCTTCTTCAGCCTGTCTCTCCGCATCGAGCTTCCTTGAAAGTCCCTCAATATTGGCAGCGGTTAATCTCTCCTCGGCATCGGAAAGGTCCTCGTCATCCGAAAACATGGTTTGGCGGGGGTGGTCGTCCTCATCGGAGTCGACAATTGAATCATCCTCGGGCTCATCATCCTCCAAGTCCGAAAGTCCCTCGACCTGATCGTCACTGTCCATAGAGCCTTCACTGATACCATCCAGATCAGCAAACTCATCGTCCTCCATTTCCAAGTCCTCTTCGTCCGAGGAGTCCATAGGCACAAGCTTCTTCTTTGCAGGAGCTTCCTTCGTTTCAGTCTTGCTCGAAGCAGTGCCATTGGCCTTGCTCTTCTTCGAAGCGGCCTTTTTGGACACAGCTTCCTCATCGGCATCAGATCTGCGGCGCTTCTTCGCAGCGACAGCCTTGGACGCCGACTCCGCCTCGGCAGCCTTGCGCTTCTTCAAAATGGAGATTTTTGATTCATCAAGCGGGGCCGGGGGGCCCTGCTTCTTCATGCGACGTCCTTTACCCATGGTGAATGTCGTGTCTGGGTTTATGATTTGTAGGGTTGCTTTCGACTTTTTTGGGGCTTTTTTTTTTCCTCCGCAGCGGTGAACATCGGCAGAAGATGGAGGAAGAAGGCGGTGAGCGAGCCCGCCCTGTCGGCCTGAATGACGAGGCAACATGTTCTTGCCGCGTGGGGAAAGCAATTCAAGACACCGAACAATCAGCCGTTCAACCGTTCGAACCTCCTCTGCTTCCACGTCAGCTTTGTCGCCCTTTTGGTATATTATTGGTTCTGAGTCCATCATGTCCGAGCTTTCCTTCACCAAGACATTTCTCTCTACGCTGGACTCCCGTCCTATCAAGCTGCGGTCTGACCATGTCTTCGATCCGGACCGGATTGGCCTGCGCGTACCGGTGAGCTTTTCTTCCTCTACGGAGCAATGTTGTGACAATTTGGAGAGATAAAAGCTTTTGACTGACTTTGATCGCTTTGATCAACAGTATACACTTCCCCGCCTCCAGGCCCCGCACCCTGAGATGCCTAAGAAAATGAAGCATACACTTGCCCCAGGTTCTTCGAAATCGGTCAACGTCAACATCAAGTCTGCGCGCAATCCGAATCTCGAGTTTACTATCCCTAATGCCCCGCTTTCTACGACAACCGTGCAGGATTTGAGGGATGCCATCGGTGCGCGTGTCAGCGATGCTCAAGGGAATCAAGTGCCATTGGACAAGATCAAGATTCTATACCGCCGCAAGCCTGTGACGGGCACAGCAAAGACAGTGGCCGAGATCCTGGCCGATGAGCCTGAGATGTTGGCAGGAGGAAAAGCGGTCGAGTTTGGGATAATGATTATCGGAGGGGCCCAGGCCATCGACGTACCTTCCCGAGCAGAAGCTGCAAAGGACAATGTATCCCCACCCAAGCCTGCGGTTGGACCAAGTGGCGCGGAGGTGTTGCAGACCGAAGCTTTCTGGGCTGATCTTGAGGGCTATCTCGAGCAACGGCTGAAGGACACGGACGAGGCGAAACACTTGCAAGCGTTGTTCAAAAGCGCTTGGATTTCCAGTCGATCGTAGTCACTTTTTTCCAAGTTCATACGAAATTAATACCCGAATTCAAATCGAGACTTCTGACCTACGTCCAGGAATGCATGGAGAGCACTATGGGTTATAGATTTCAATCAAATGTCCTACACACACCATGGGTCCGCATGGGATGGCCAAAGCAGAGCCTCGAGGACGCAGAGATGAAGGCCACATCTAGTCCCGTTCACCGGGTTCCAGATGCATGAGAAAAGATATGAAAAGCCAGGGGGGCTCCAATAACACACCCAATCAGATAAAGATCAAGGAAGTAGCAAGGGAATCTGTAAAAATGATGAGGGGCACCGTCGCTTATAATCGAAGCGAACACAAGAAACAAATGATCAGGGATGTACGCCGGGGAAATCATCGCGAACATGGCATATTATCAGAATTGGGGTCAAAAGTACACATGTTGAAGAAGAGAAAAACCACATAGAAGAGTACCATATGCCAGGCAGCTGGATGGGACACCGATGGAAATGCTCACAAAAGAACTGGCCCGGCCAATCGCTCATCCGGTTTCATGGGATCATGTCTCGGCGAAAAGACCGAAGAAATACACACGACAGTAGAAAGGAAAGATCATACAAGAGCTGTCATCTCTTCGTTCGCTCATCTTGAGAAGACCTTGACCACGCCATCTCCGCCACCGCTGACGACCCAACGTCCGTCACGGCTCCAGACAACGGCGCAGACGCCCTCACCGCGCATCAATCGGTGACTGGTCAATTCTTGAGTGCAGCTACGCTTTTCAAGGTTCCAGAAGCGCAGGCTGGCATCATGACCAGCCGAGACGAGTTCACGTCCATCCGGAGACAGTGACAGCGAGGCAATCGCAGCCGGGTGCGCTAGCATGGTGTACGTACATTGACCTGGAAAAATGTATCAGAAGAAGGCATCATTTGGAAATAGAGGAGAATGCAACATACCACTGTTGGCATCGAAGAAGCGGATGTATCGGTCTTCATAGCCACTAATGATCACACCTTCCACACTACTTGACCCCGTGGCCCCGTGAACGACCTCCTCTTCGGCCATGGTGCGATTGGGATCCAAGTGGGCAGAACCATCAAAGCCCACGGTGGTAGCAACTACAGAGTTGACGCCGGTCGATGGTGTGCCATCGTAGGTTTCCAGGCTAGCCATGCCAACGATTTCTTCGCCTGTTCGTGTATCGTAGACGAGAATGGAGGCATCTGTGTAGGAGACGACGAAATTGACACCGGCTAGGGACAATGGACTGATGCACGTGGGGGATGGAGAGTCGCTACGCTGAATGTGATGGACAAGAGTGTAGTGGAAGGGGGTGGCGGTAGCGACGCTGGGTTGGGGAGAGGATGGGAAGTTGGATCCGGACGAGATCGAGTTGGCACGACGGCTGCCGCCCTGGCGGCGTGACCCAGCCTGGGGGGAGGAGACAAGAGGAGGTGAACTGACGGCCCATATCAAGATGCGGCCGTCAGCTGCGCCAGATGCCAGCAAGATTCGGTCCGCGCCGCCGTAGTGACTGCACGAATCGCCAAAGACAGTACCAGCCGTCCCAGGAAGCACGCAGAGTCCCCACACAGCATCTGTGTGTCCATCCAGGGTAGCCTTGGGGTCAACACGACCACGTTCCCATACCCTCACACTGGCATCTTGTCCGCCGGAGAAGACCCATCCATCGCCAAGGACTCGGCCCCCGTTTGAGATGTTTTGGGACGGCGAACAAGACGCCAAAGAAGTCACGGCTCCTTCATGGCCACGATGAGTGAAGTAGCTGGTGATGTCTAAGTCGTTACTTGAGCCCGGACCCTGGGATCCAAACGTGCCGTACGTGGCTGGAATTATCCACCGCTTGATGGTGCCGTCGTCGCTGCATGTACAAATCTCCGGCTCGGAAGGGCTACCACCACCTGTGAAAATCACAGAGCGAATAACATCGAGATGTCCACGAAGGGCAAACCGAACCTTAAAATTAGAGTCCTGTTGGCCGAATCCAGCGCTCAAATCCCGCGACTCCACCGCGCCGTCGCTTTTCCTTCGCGAGCCAGAACTCTTCCGTCGGTGAGAGAGGGATCCGCCCCTGGACGGCGACTTCGAGTGAACAAAGTTGGCATTTGGGAATGCATCTGTGTCCGGTCGATGTGGCGGCATGGGCTCGCTCGCAGGTTCTTGCCCTGTGGACTCATCAAAATTCCAGCCATCCATATCTTCTGCGTTCTCTTCGGCGCTCTTTTCCGGCTGCACATCCTCTTGCACAGCTACAAACGGTCCTGGCCCATCGTATGGAGACTGTGTTCCAGCTGCGCGGTCGTCAACCAGACCCTGTTCGTAGATCTGCTTTTGATTTTCAGCAGCACTGGTTGGAACCTGCTGCCGTTCAAGCTGGCGCCTGTCAGCTACTTCACGAGGAGCCGACGAGTGGCTATGTTGATTCTGGGCACGACCCATGACCGCATTTTCCCCGTATTGTCCGCCTGTCGACTGATGATTCGGAAGAACCACCTCGCGCGAAATCACATGATTGGCTCTTTGCTGCTGTTGCTGCTGCTGCTGCTGAAGGTATGCTTCCTCGAGATTTTGTTGTGATAGTTGTTGGTTGTAGAAGTGGCTAGAGAGATCGGGATCGCTGAGATTCGGGGCCGGGTGTGATGTAGGAATAACGTGATAGGCGATTTCCTGGGCGCACTTAGAAAGAAAGACGCGGGATTTATCCCGCTCGTCTTCCTGGCGAAAGTCATTAAAGCTCACCGAGTCGTCCTGGCCCGCGTCCGGATCGTGGCTGGACGGACGTTGCGCTGCGATGGCATTAATCAATGCGCCATGGGTAATGCACAGAAATGAGTACACACCTTTTAAGAAGTCGACGCTGTTTCGCGCAATCTCCTTGGGGTCTGTTGGGCCCTCTATTGTCTCGTTATTCGAGAGCTTCTTCACCTTCTCCCGCTCTTTCTTCAGCGCTGACTCCATCAATCGAACATGCTTGCCCAGGGACTCATGAAGTCGCTTGCTTGTCCGCAATTCACCCTCTAGTCGGCCGATGCGAGATTTCATCTCGGCGCGTTCGATCTCCCATGCATTGCGGTCGCGTTCGTGCCGATGCCATTCGGTCTGGAGGAACCGCATCACACCTGTTCGTCGATCATTAGCCCAGCTATAGTGAGATCAGCAATCAAGGGTACACTCACCCTGTAATGTATATTCCGTGCCCTGTGGGTGTCCACCATTAGAGCCGTCTCCCATTGCCCCGTGCATTCCCCCAACCCCAGACATGGCCGATGGAGATTGCCAGGCCATGTACACGTCGTTTGATCAACACCTGATGCAACCTGTCTATTTAGCACGAGCAACCTGAAGCTGATCAGCTTCTGGTTGGAGAGCAACAAGCTTGAGCTTGTCTCTTGACTCCCGTACGAGCACCGGGGTGAGCGAGTTTCAATACCCCCAGGGGGTGACAACAGCAGAGGAACCTCGTCCCACGCCGTGTCCAGTGATTAGTGAGTAAAACCCGGTCGAGGTGAAAGGAGAAGAGGCCAATGATCGACTGCAGGAGGATTGAGGGCGTACGTCGTTTGTTTAGGGCGAGAGCAAGTGGTTTTCGGGGTCGAGCAGCTCGGCAGATCGGGCTGACCGCCTTGCGAAGTTAGTGACGGGGTAAGGTGGGATTCAAGGATCTTGAAGATCATCAAAGTCGCAAGTGGCAAGCAACAGGCAGTGGATAGGGACTTTCTGCATCAAAGTAATCTTTGTTATTCTGAACGGGTAAAGCCTTTATGCGTGGACAGCGAGGGTCAACCTGCATCTCCCGGTGATGGCCCTCGCTCTTACACCGCTACCCCATTTCAGTTAATGATATCGAATTGTGATCTTTCAGTGGTATTGAATATTGGACGTTGATCGTTTTTATCTAGACAGACACACGGTTGGTACAATAGTATCCGAGTGCGTCCCAAGCCCATCGATGCGCTGCAGCGGGCAAGTCATGCTGGCCGATCCCCAAACATATATTTGGAGAAGCGCATCGATATAGTTCTGAGATGCAGAAACCCTTTGGAGCTCAGGGAGATGAGCCCACAGCCCTATACCACGATTCTAATGAATCGCTCCGGTATCACTCACTAAGGTGAGTATTCCCAGCTACTAAGGTAACTATTTGATTGTGATTTTCCGGGCAAAAACCAAAGCCGGGGTCTGCTCGTCCGCCTTACACCCCCGGGAGTTTCTAACACTTGAAACAAGTCAACCTTGACACCTTCGCAATTTACCCAAGGATGGATATCTGTGGTATTCGTGATCTCGTTAGACATGCCCACGAGAGGTGTCGTACACTATGGTATATTGGAGTTAAAATTCCAGCTCCTCCACCTCCATGCCGCAGTCCACACAGGTCTTGACGCCGATGCCAGTCTCCGGGTTCTCAACGGATCGACCCCACTGGTGTACGTGCTTCCGATTGTTGCCCAGGTCATCTCCGAACTCTCCTCCAGAGGCTCCTTGACGGTTTCGTCGGTAGGCCTCAACGCGCGTACGTTTCTTTAGGTCATGCAGCTTCGTCCTGAACTTGGCTTCTCGTCGCTTCTTCTTGTCATTCTCGCGGCGCTCGAATTCAGCATCTAGAGCCTCGGCAGAGCCCCATTTCTTTGGCGAAAATGCGTACTCTTCAACCTGAAAGCGCAGGTAAAGCATCATGTTATTCCATGTCGATTTATGCGGATTCGGCCGTTCGAGGTGCGGAAGAAGCTCTTCGTCTCGTAATTCAGCTATCAAGCAAGATCAGCAACTGGTTTTCTACGTGTCAAGGCTCAATCATCAATTGACTCACGGTCCGTCAGTAGATAGTCCTCCTTGGCTTCCGTCTTGGTGAGAAGGCTATACCGCTCGGGGTATTTTTCCTTGCAAGAATGACAGATGCGACATCGGAGCTCTTCTTCCCATTTCCAATCAATTTCTGGACTTCCACACTCGCGACACGTCTTTTGCTTGCTTTTATCGTCCAGGACACTTAAACCTGGCTCGAAAGGCCCTTCGCGGTTCCGCCGCAGGGACTGCAGTAGTTGGTGACGTTCCCATTCCTTCTGGGTCATGTTTGCCGGCTTTTGGTCCTCTTGCCCATCCGACACGTGCAACGCCTTGTTGAATGGGTCGTCCTCCTGCGTTAGGAAGCCGCCCTTGGTATCGGTCATCTTGCTGAAATCATAATCGACGTATCGAGTAAAATTGCGCGCGGGTTTGATCGCATGGAGCGACCGATCAGAAGCTGCTTTTGTACGGGCATCCCGTAAAGAAGCCGGAAGCTCAGCCCCAGTTATCGAGTTAAAAGAACGCTTCACTCCTTGTATGGATTGGGCGGCGCGAGGAGGAACAGCAGGGCTAGAGGTTTGAGACAGCTCGGCTGCACGTTGTTCACGAAGAGCTTTTGCTTTCATTCGGTTCACTTCCTGGAGGTAATGACCATGTAAGCAATCAACGACTCGAAGTTTGGTGAACAAAGGGGACTAACAATCCTCCGCTGCTGTTCGGGCGTCAGTGGGCCGCGAGGGAGTTGGCCCGGCTCAGCCAAGTTTTGGCGCGGGGGGGGTTTGAGGCCGATCTGCTGACATTTTGCTAGATCGTTTCGTGTTACTCGTGCCTCTATGGAAGGCAAAAAGACGAAGTGCACGAAAGCAAGAGACCGAGCTTATCGCCACGTGACTCTCACCTTCCATTCACGTCATCAACGCGAATACGCGCAATTTTGAGTTGCAGATGCAAAGATGCTGATTCAAATTGTCTCCGTAGCTATAATTCAGCAGGAAAGGGGTTTGAATTTAGACCTTCATCCTCATCGCGCTCTTGACCGTACAACACCTCGCACACCCCGCCGACCGGGATATCCATAACGGCATCAGTTCCTTCACTCCAGATTTCCCACCAGTTGACTTTGCGATTCTGCGCGCTCATGATTTGGTAGGATGTCGCACCGGGCTTCATCTTGGTTGCCCCGCCTGGTCTTCTTCGAGCCTTTCCGTCAATGACCGCTACGTTCGCAACTTCATCCACAATATTCTCAATGCTGTTCATGGGCAGAGTCAGATAGCCAGTGTTGTAGGAAGCGAGTGCGACGTAAATATAGACAATGAAAATGACGAGCCATGCTGGAATAGCTAGGGACCACCAGCGGTTGGGGTAGTAGTAGATTCCGAGCTGATGGAGAAATGGGGATGGTAGGTATGACCAAAGGAGATAAATTACTAGGTTGTCTCACGGTCAGCACGCCAAACACAAAGCATGAAAACGACAAGCACCTACAGAATGCAAGCGACGAAGCTAGATAGAGCACAAAGCCATAATATTCATATGTGGGTACCTTGGGGCTGGCGCGGGGGACGGTTGTTGCGCGACGCGCTGACTTCGCCACGGCGGCCTCGGTGTCATTGGGGGTCTCAACATCGGAGCTATCTGGAGTGGTCGGACGTGAGGTAGTCGTCGAAAAGGGCGGTCGAAGCAGCGATGTCAATGAAGGAGACGGAGGCAAAGGTGTCGGCGGACGATTGTAAAAAGGAGGCGCAAAAGCATTAGGGCCATGAAGTGAGCTGGATGACTGTCGGAAGGGATGATGCCTCCCAATATCGTCGGCCGAGTCGTCGGACTCGGAATCAGAGAGCGATTGAGGATCTAGCGAGTAGTGCGACTGGAAATCGGCATCATCCTCAACCTCGATCTCATTGCAACCGGGGGAGATGACCTCGTCCTCCGCATAGCTCTCTTGCGCCCCAGGCGAAGTGAGATCATCAAGCAGAGGGGGAAACGGCTGCTTGGACTCGAAAGTTTCAAATGACCGGGAGGTTGAATCCTCCATGGGGGGCCGATCGTAAGATGATGAGTCTAAGATGTTTACTCCGTACTCCATTCTCCGCGATGCTTTTCTGCCGTACCCACCGCTCGTTTAGTTATGAAAACCAAAACCCTATTTTGATTTCTGGCTTCCCAACCCTCTTTAAGGCTTGTTTGCAGATATTTTACGAACTAGTCATCAGGCTTGTGTCTATTTGACTACGATTTTTTTTTCTCCATCATCTAGGTTACGGTGAAACTGCCGCCTCAGGAATGATCGCTGACGGAGCATAGGGTAAGTTAGTCACCGAGAACAGGCGATGGAGCGAGATGACGCCAAATTGGAAGAAATGAACATACCTGATCATCCAGCGGACTAGTCTGGTATTCAGGAAGTATAGAGTTCTACATTTGTTAGCGTTTGGACCTCGAGAATTCATAGCAGGCAGTCACTCCTTCCCTTTGAGCAGCGCAGAGACCAGGACAGGGACCAGGATAGGGACAGGCCCAATAAACCACCCAGGCCACCCACCATGACATGAACCACGGTTTTGACCGGAGAAACTGTTGCAATTTGGGGCTTTTCCAAGGGGAGGTCAGAACATGGCATTTGATTCGTTGGTCGTGATCCTCGTCTCCACTGGATACGCGATAGTTTGTTTCTTTTTGTCACTTCATTTCTTTTCTCGACCCACTCTACTTTCTCGGGATCGGCTTTTGTGATTCTTTAACCTATGCCTACGCCGATGGCTATGATGATGTCTCTACGTATGACTCCCTCTATGCCTATGCCGCTGTTGCGTCCGTGTCGCAGGACGAGAGGCCACCCCCGAAGCCTCGCCAGGCCTTGCCAGGCCTTGCGTATACGCGCATGAACCGTAGCGCACGAACTCGATCGACAAACTACATCTTCACCCGCAGATAGTGCAATGCGACCCACCTATCAGCTCCGTCAGAACTCACTTTGAATGTCCTGTCGCGCTCTTTTCGGGTGACAGGTCCAAAATGCGGGACACCAGGAGCGGGCCGTCTGATTTGGTGACGAGTGATGGGTGATGGGTGATGGATCATCTTCATTCTTCCCAACGCTGCCTTCTCGTTGTGATGACTTTCCTCTCTGCCGTCGGAGAGACAGAGGCAGCCACGCACGTTTACCATGTCGAGTGTAGTTGTACGAGATCGAGTCTCTACTCTCCCATCCAGACGGATAGGCTAATGTGATTTTCAGGACCCGAACAATGACCCGAATGTCGGCTCCTCGCGAGGTGATGCCTCCTCCACCTCGGGCGACATCGTCAGCGGTCTAACGGGGAAAGTAGTTCCTCCTCAGCCTCGGCGCTGGTGATGACCTTGATTCCGGCTCTCATTTATGCGCTATTTTGGTTTGCCCTCTTCCTCCTCTTTCGCCGAACCCAGCGGCGATGGTATGCTCCGCGCTCTCACCTACCCGATCTACATGAACATGAACGGACGCCGGAATTACCGTCAGGTTGGGTCAATTGGTTCGGCACATTTTTCAAGATCGAAGATAACCACGTCCTGCATCATTCTTCGCTAGACGGGTATCTATTTTTGCGCTTCCTGAGAGTGCTGTGTGCGATATGCTTCTTCGGCTGCTTGATCACTTGGCCCATCCTCCTGCCTATTCATGCTACAGGGGGCGCTGGGAACACCCAGCTCGACGTGCTCAGTTTCAGCAACGTGACGAATCCTACCCGATATTATGCGAATGTGTTTGTAGCTCTGTTATTTTTCAGTAAGTGCTCCGTCTCTTGCTCGATTGGCGGCTATCTTACCGAACGGTAGCGTTCGTCTTCTATATCGTAGTGCGAGAAAGTCTCTATTATGCGCATTTACGTCAGGCCTACCTCAACTCACCAGCGTACGCGTCCCCGAATCTCCTCGAGAACGGTCCTATTCATGTCGGTACCCGAGGACTACAAAAGCGAAACGAAGCTACGACAAGTCTTCGGGGACTGCATTCGCCGCATTTGGATCACCACGGATTGCAAGGAGCTGGACAAGCTTGTCAATGAGCGCGACAGACTGGCCTTCAACTTGGAAACCGCAGAAACAAAGCTGATTCGAAGAGCTAACAAAGCTCGTACGAAGTCGATTCGGACGGGTGCAAGTTCATCCGACATCTGTCTCGACTGCGAGTCAACCAATCCTGCAGGTTTTCACAAGGTCAGGCGACCAACACATCGTCTGAGGTTCCTTTTCGGTGAAAAGGTGGATTCCATTCACTGGTATCGATCAGAACTAGCTCGAGTGACTACAAAGGTGGACATCCTCCAGCGAAAACACCAAACCGGCGAGGCCAAACAGTTATCGGCGATGTTTGTCGAGTTCAATTCCCAGGCGGATGCCCAGGTGTCCCTACAAACTCTCTCGCACCATCGGCCCTTCCATATGGCGCCTCGCTTCATTGGCATTTCTCCTAGGGAGGTCGTCTGGGAGGCACTGAATCTCAGTTGGTGGCAACGCATTGTGCGACGGTTTGCTGTTCAGGGTGGCCTGGGAGCTCTCGTGATCTTCTGGTCGTTTCCCGCTGCACTTGTGGGAACAATTTCAAATATTACATATCTGGCCAAGATGATTCCATTCCTCAAGTTTATCCTTCACCTACCTAACCTGGTCAAGGGGGCCATCGAGGGTCTCCTGCCCTCCGCTGCTCTGGTGGCCTTGATGTCGTTGGTGCCGATCATCTGTCGAAGTATGAATCCCTCCCCCTTCTTTTACAACTCAAAAATCGCTGACTCCATTTGCGCAGTTTGCGCGAGACATGCCGGGGTCCCATCAATGGCGCGAGTCGAACTTTTTACCCAAAGCGCTCATTTTGTCTTCCAGGTTGTGCAGGTGTTTTTAGTGACGACACTGACATCTGCGGCATCTGCTGCCACGACCCAGATTATCAAGGATCCTCTCTCGGCAAAGGATCTATTGGCGCAGAATCTACCTAAAGCCACCAACTTCTATATTTCTTACTTTTTGCTCCAGGGCTTGAGTCTGAGCTCGATGGCGCTCGTACAGATTGCGAGTGCGCTCGTGTTCAAGTTTGTGACGACCTTTTTTGCATACTCGCCGCGCCGCCTGTTCCGAAAATGGGCTCAGCTGGTTACTCTTAGCTGGGGCAATGTGTTTCCTGTATTCACCAATATGGGTGTAATTGGTAGGTATATCTCATCGGCATTTTCAGATCCTTCTTACTGAATCGAAGCACAGCGTTGACGTACTCCTGCATTGCGCCATTGATTTTGGGCTTTGCCTTTGTTGGGCTGTATCTCGTCTACCAGGCCTATCGATACAACTTTTTCTTCGTCTACAATGTCGAAATCGACACCAAGGGATTAGTCTATCCTCGCGCCCTGCAGCATTTACTCACCGGTCTCTACCTGGCCGAGGTCTGCATGATCGGTCTATTCGCAATTAAGGGTGCGATCGGCCCGCTTGTCATTATGGCCATGTTCCTGATTGGCAACATTTTGGCCCACATTTCGCTAAACGAAGCCCTTTCCCCATTAAACACATTTCTGCCACGATCTCTGGATGCCGAAGAGGAGCTTCTCATGGAAAAGGAAGATGCCCAGGCCGAAATCAACGAAATCAACGACTTACGTCGATCTCGTGTCTTGGCATTCTGGAAGTGGTTCCACCCAAACATGTACAAAGACTTCGCAGCAATGCGTCGAAAAGTGCGACGTAACGTTGCTGAGGTCGATTATACCGAGGAGCAGATGCGCACAGCCTATTTCGAGCCCAGTGTGGCGTCTCCCAATCCCACGCTTTGGATCCCGCGTGACAGATGGGGGTTCAGTCGGCATGAGATCATGGAGACTGATCCTGCCATCCATATCACGGATGAAGGGGCTCACTTGAATGAGAAAAACAAGATTGTGTGGGACAAATACGATCCTCACCTTCCGCTACGTGAACGGAAGACGTTGTACTGATTGACTGGATCGGTCTACTCCTTTTAATTCTATAAATATGACATGACGACTGAAGTGCTCCCTGTGTAGTCTACCCTATGTATTGACTACAGCCGGATGAGGCAGATAATCTAGGCCCTCAGAGGATGAGTCCTAAAAAATGTATTCTTTCTACATTCTGTTGAAAGGTTTCAGCCCTCTTCTTAGGGTTCCAGCCCTTGAACGGTCTTATGGATCTTTTCATATGTAGGGACCTTGGAATGCTCTCTGCGAACGGACTCCAGCATTTGAAATCATTTGCACCAAGGAAGGAATAAGGCGCAACACTCAATTTCAATACATCAATAGACGCGTCTTCAGCCAAAAAATAAATAAATAAATAAAGGAAGCATAACAACTTCTGTAACTAGACAGTTAGGGTAAAGTTGACTGCATTCACAACCCCATTGTCTCGAGGGAAAAATTCGAATGTGAAGAGTGTCGTCACTCCAGCTGAGATGACCGAGCTAATTGCTGATGAGGTCAAGATCACATGTGAGGAATCCCAATTATATTGGCTACTATAGGTCTGTCAAGATTGCATTAGACTCTTTTCAACGCGAATGGAAGGAAAAGCTCACCGTCCTAGCCTGCTGCAGAGGACCCAGATAGACAGTGAAGTCATCGACTAGATACACACCACTTGTAGTCACTGCTCGAACTGCAGCCACGGTTGCCAGCCCACCCCAGGTGATGGGAACAGACAGATCGGCGCCTGAGACCGATGATGCCACAGCCGACGATGACGACAGAGTGGGCGTCTTCCATTGAACAATCTGAAGTATAGGCGATGAGTCCCCTCCAGAGAATTCCAAAGTCAAGTTAGCAACCACGCCTGGAGAAGTCGTAGGTGAGAGATGTTTCGACAGATAAGAAGCAGCGAAGGTGATGCTGGAGCTGGAGACCGAATAGTCAGTGCCTGATTGTAAGGTCGAGCCGGTGGAGTCGCTGATCGAAGACAGCGTATTTCCATTAAAGATGAATGGAAGACTTTGTGCGACAACTTGAGTTCCATACTCGTGGAACAAATAAGCCGAAGAAAACTGGGAGGTCGCAGAAGAATCTTCAGTACTATCGGGTAAGCTATTTGCTGTGGACTCGGTTGATTTGGTGATCATTGAAATGGAGTTGGGATCGCGCCAGGTATCGGTGTCTCGATTTAGGTGATCCAAGCCATTATCCCAAAGAATGCATGAGATCTCTAGGCCGAGGGCGTTTCGAATCAAATAGTCGACGTATTTCCAGCGGGCAGCAGGTTCCGTGTTGGTTGGGGATGCATCATATTCCCCAAGGACAATAGGAACTCCGGTAAAGTTATCTCGGAGTAACTGAAGATCTGAGAGAACCGTTGCTTTATCTGCATCGGATCCCCAAATTGTCTTGCCCCTGTAGACTAATCAGTCAAAGTTCTTATCGTTCTGCATAATGCTGCCTACCACGCGCTGAAAATGAAATCATCTGTGACACGTTAAGAGTTGAACATGGATCCAATCAGATAGTCATCACTCACAAGGGCTGTAATAGTGAAATTGGATAGCATATGGATTGGAAAACCCAGATGGCGCCTGGAACCACTCCGACGTCTTGACACTATCCTCACCACCTCCCACCAGAGTAACGACCCGCTGGGAATTGAATCCGCCAGCATCATTGATGGCCTGGAGGAAGATTTTGTTGAGTTTGTTGATTTCAGTCGCATCATCAGCATCGTTGCATGGGGGCTCGTTGATAGGCTCGTAAGCGACGAGACTGGACTTGCACGCTAGCTTGGTGCCGATTTGATACCATAGCCGGTAGAACTTTTCCTCAATCATTGTAAGATTAGCCCCCGCCTGGGTAACATCGGCCCAGATCCATGAATCTGGCTCTGGTTAGTGGTAAATCTCATAGTCATTGTTCATCAGAATGACGGACCATGATGCACATTAACAATTGTATACAATCCAAGGGAAGTGACCATATCAACAACATCAGAGACTCGCTGTAACCAGTCCGGGTCGACTGTCCAGTCTGGTGAGCTTCCAGTGAAATGATACGCATAAGTGACTATAGAGTGTCAGCCACTACAGAAGGATCCAGGAGACTTGTATGTCTCACCTGGGATCCGAACACTCTTGAAGCCCGCTGCTTTCACATCTTCAAACGTGGATGCGACGACGGGGGCATTATTCCAGGATCCTTCATCCGGAGTGGCATCAAGTGTGTTGCCGAGATTCCAGCCAGGATGCAGATTCGCAACGAAATCAGGCGCGGAAATGGGTGTAAAAGATCCCACGCAGCTGTTTGTTGTGGCAGTGGCCGTTTTTGTCGATGCCGTCGTTGTTGATGCGGCTATGGTGGTAGTCTTGCTCGTAGTCGTAGTCGTAGTTGTAGTGGTAGTCCTAGCACTGGTGGTCGATATCGTGTGAGTTGTAGTCCCGGGGAGACATTGATAGTAATCTTGACAGAGATTAGATGAATGTGTGTGAATGATGGGAGCTACAATGACAAACAGGGGTTCTGCGAGGCACAAGCGAACCCCGAGATACAGGTTGAACTGCTTGAGTAGCCAATTCCTCCACCTAATCCCCATGAGTCAGTCTGGGTAATGCTCTCTAATAATTCATGTCATCAGTATGTGCCACCAACACTGTCCGTATCCGGCCACTTGTGCCTGTACAGTGTGAGCCAAAGCCAAGATGGCAACAGCTCCCAGCGGCTGCATCATGAGACAATCGCCCAGCAATCAGGCTAGATGGAGAAGTGAGTCCGCTTGAAGAGCTTTCTTCTGGTCGATTGAATTTCCATACGACTATTTATACCTTCTCTTAATTACACCATCTGTGAAAGAAACCGAGATCGAGGCACGTCGTAAATCTAGAAAAGACACGGAGTCTTCTCCAATGCCGGCTTTTCTTAATTTACTAGACTGGGGTCATTCCCCTCTGCAGAAATGCGCCCAGAATTGCAGGTAGGTGCAAAGCATTTCATTATTTTATCCAAGAAGATACTATGTAGCAGTACGCCTAAACGCGTCGCAGTATTGTATAGGCTGTGGGGCTTGGCCTTCGCAACGGGGCATAACATTGTATTGCCTCCACTGTGGTCGCTCGCTAGCGCTCCTTAGAAGATAATCCCTGGTCAAATACGAAACAGACCATACAGAGATGACAGGAATCCTGGTGGACATGCGCATTCCCCGCTTTGGCAGGGGTTGATCGCCGTAGCCACCAAATGATGCGGAGCAAGCCCGTGTTAAATTCTGCAGCGCCGTGGCCCAAGAGGTCTTCGGACTATTCAATTTGGGAAAATTTGGTGGGATGAATCTAGAAAATCTTGGGCATGAATTGTCGCAGCATAAGGCTCTAAGTACATCGCTTCGTGATATGCATTCCATCGTGTCGGTCCCCTATAACGCCAAACAAAACATGGGCTCTTGTTGCACACGTCAAATGGCTAGCCGCTTCACATCATGATGCAGTCTTTATTCCTCCCACTTGAGCTATAACGGTTGCTATTGATCGGTCGATCAGGGGGATGTTGAGCCGAGTAACGGTTTGCTGCGTACCGACCTCCTTGATGACCGCCATACGGAGGTCTTGGGTCCGGTGGGGAGTATCGAGGCCCTGTGGTGGACGCGGTGGCGGGTTCATACGGTGGTGGAGGGGCATTTGGATCATCTGGGTCGGGTTCACTATGCGACGATGTGAATCGCGACGAGGTGCGGGTGGGTGGATTTGACAGACGAGGGCTGGACGTTTGGCTGGACCGAACAGGACCCGACGGACGAATACCACGCGGGGGTGAGTTTCCTTGCTGGCTCTCTCCCCGCTCACCCGTCGGGCTAGCTGACTGATCCTCTGTCTGTTCCCGTTGTTCCTCTTCCTGAAATTGCAGGGAAAGGGCATAGGCATAGTCCGCATCGCTCTGCTCTTGCGATGATATTTCATCCTCGGGGGTTTCGGCTGAAGCGAAAGTGCTTATTGCAGCAGTACTCGACGTTCGAGGACCAGCTGGACCTGTCGAATCTGCTGGTTCAGATGGCCCGTGGCTGACAGCTCGGAAGTCACCCGCGAGAAACTCAGAGTTGAAGCCCGTCACATCGACCAAAGATTCCCAGACAACCTCTGCATGATTGGCGTAGCCAGCATCAGTGACTAATGTGAATAGTTGGTGTGATTGTGGGTGTTTGTAGAGTGTCGAGAAATGGTCATTGCGGAAGAAGATGGAGACTGACCCGGGTGCCAATCGGGTGGTGAGTTGCGTCAAGCCAAAGGGACTCAGTTGTGTCGCATTCTCAACATCGACAAAGTTCTGAATAGCCTGTATATCTGCCATGGTCTGCTCTTCTTCCGGAGATAGTGAGCGACCTTGCATTACTCGGTCCTCGAGCTCCTGTCTGCGGAAAGGCAAGAGTTGGATATCCTCATGGAACTGGGCAACCCGGGTCATGGCTGTATGTTCTCGGCTCGACCACGATGCGACCCATCCATGTATCAGAGGAACTCGGAATGTACTGTAGAGCCGGAGATCATCAGTTTCCTGGAATGTGCCAAGGGAATCCGTTGTTTCCTGTTCAAGATCATTAGTCAACGGGGTAACACTTGTGTCCCATGTGATGGAAAAGCCATTTACCAAGATCAATCGAGGATTGACATTCATGCCAGTATGTAACATGGTGAGAAATCGAGTGAGTGCCTCAATATCCGGGAACTCCTCGTCGGGTCCCAGGCAAGTGGTCAATTCTTCGAATAGAGCTTCGATGAGCAAGCCCAACGAGATTTGCTCACGCGAGCGTAATGCCCTGATAATGGGAGTTTGCAACTTGGGACCCGAACGAAGCACGAGGGCATTGATAAGAGCTAGAAGTGGGCAGGGTCCATTCTGGGTTTGAACTAGAATGGGCGATTGAAGCAATTGCCCTGTTCGGTCAATCCAGTTGATTTGCCGGATCGAGTAGGTCTCAGATCTTTGCTCCATTTGCCTGGCTGCCTCTGTATCAGAAAGATTGGCGCTTGATGCTGATGGTGTCTGTTCATGCGTACCATCTGGAGGCAGCAGCATGGAGGATGAATTTTGAGGATACTGGGTATCAGTGGGTATCTTCTCATCCATTGCTTGAGCTCGGGATGAGTCAATAGACGAGGCGGCCTGATGAGACCCAGTCTCAACCCCGAGAGTCTCAGGGCCATCAAAATCTATCAGCTCGTGAGACGTGGCCGAGGTGCCACTGGAGATTGCTGAGGGGGTCCGTATGCCAGCAGCTGACCCTAGACGTCCTTGATTAGATGACGTCCGTGATGCGTGCAGGTCTTGAGGATCCGAAGGCTGCACGACTACCGCCGGTGCGTATGGATTAGATTGTCCGCCCTGGAGATATATTTCCTGGGGCGCTGAAATCCTGATTGAGTGTTGCGATTCCCATGGAGTCGCATCATGCGGCCTCTCATCAGAATGATTTTGGGGGGTAGCATGGGGATGCTCTGCTTCGTTCCACGAGAATTCATTGCCCGGCGAGTCAAGCAAAGATAAACGGGCCGTCATTGGGATATATCCTTCGGCTGTAACTCGTCAGCATCTTTTATTCTGATTCCAGCGAGAGAGGTGAGTAGTGAATCATACATTGACTCAAAGAATCGCTGCTCGTAGTGGCATGTGAATGGCGATTGTCCCACCCATGCGGTTCCGCGTATTCAAGCCGCGATTCGGACGGTCTTGGCTTCAAAAAAGGGTTGTTCGACCGTAGCTGCACAGGAACTTCCCCCGCCATCGTCCTGTTTTCCACGGGGGCTGGCTTCCAGCCACGTTCGTCACCTCCCTGTGAGCCGGGCATGGGTGCTGAGGAAGGCCATGCACTCCTGGAATCTGACCCTGTCTGGTCTGGGCCCGAGGTGGCTGGACGGTCACCCAAGCTCTCTGACCAGGAACCCGGCGGTTGACTGGCTGGGGAGCCCACGGGTGACCTCTGAGCCTCCTCGAGTGGCATCAGATCGAAGGCTGGAGAAGTATTGAGGTCTGGTGAATAGACCGACTCCTGCGAAGGGACACGATTCAGGCGAGCGCGAGTCGCGAAGTTGACGGGCGGAGAGGACGAGGGCTGGGAATTCGATCGAGCACGCCACTTATTGAGGTTCTCCAGACGTGGTGGGGGAGGTTTACGGAGCACCATGAAGAAGGTCGATGAATATGTAGAGACCAGAACAAAGAGTGGGTTATATAGTCCAAGGAGGATGATCCAGCCCGTTGTTCATAAAGCTAAGAGGAAGAGGATCGCGGGGGGAACAGCCATGAGGCGCAACGGATAGCAGTCTTGCGCCCAGTCTGAATTGGTTCAGATTAGGCGGGAGTGTCGAGAGCTCCGTCCCGGAATACAACGATGATATCAGGGGCGGCAGGCACCAGCCGATCTCTGGAGAGTCTGGAGTACGGAGTATGGGTATTACCGTCTAGCTGCGCCATGTGGGGCTGCACTTGGTGGGACATCATGTATTCCGATTACAGATCAAGCAATCGGTTTGTAGCCTCATTCTATGTCCATATTTAGGCTGTCAGACTCGAATAGGGGAGCTCAGAGACAGAAGCGGAACAGTACTCCATTTCCTTCCAGACCCTCAAGGTTCCATCGCTTACAGACTGGACTGGATTTTTTGGGTAGTTTAGGATACCAAAAATCCAAAATACATCAAACGGTCGATCACGGGCCGATGCTTTCTCCGAAGACTCCCCGCCGCAGCTTCTCATTGGCCGCAGAATGCCATTTTTTCGATTGTTCGCAGCTGAGAGCTTCTTCTGGTACTTCACACCATGCATTCGTCAATTCGGCCGCATCAATTTGTGGCGGTCCAGCTGCCGTCAGAGCAGACTCGCCTCGTCAAGCTTGTGCCCAATACGTATGCCGGCAAACACCCATTCAAGCTATCAAATGTGCTAACACCGGACTCCAGCATAGTTAATTTGGGCAAGTACGGCAGCTTTTCCGCCAACCAGGTCATTGGGCGGCCTTTCTATCTAACTTTTGAGATTCTTGATACCCCGGAGAGTGATGGGTATGGACTGCGTGTCGTCTCCGCCACCGAGTTACATGCCGAAACCTTGATTGAAGAGGCCGAGGCGGACGGAGAAGGCGACGATGCAGAGACGGGAGACGGGACACCCCTGCGCACAAATCGCGAGATCGTGGACGATGCCTCTACCCAGCGCTTGACTTTAGAGGAGATCGAGGAGCTGAAAAAAGAGGCCAGTGGAGCAGGCAAAGATATTGTCGCAAAACTGTTGGAGTCGCATTCTGCTTTGGACCAAAAGACGGCCTTCTCGCTCGCCAAATACACACTGCGTAAGCGCAAGAAGTACATTCGAAGGTTCACCATTCTTCCACTCGATGTCAACTTGCTCGTCAACTATTCGTTGCAAGAACGCGACGCCGGAAGAACTATGGAACTGCGTGATGAGCACATCGGTCTGCTCGGATGCCTGGCCAATGTGCACCACGGCGGACAAGTGACTACGGATGCACTCCCTGATGTCAAGTCGAACGGTCGATATCTCGTGGTAGATGAGACCGGCGGTCTCATTGTTGCCGCGATGGCTGAGCGCATGGGAATCTTGTATCCTCGCGACGAAGAGGATCTGGAGTCCGAAGAACAGCTTCTTACAAATGAAGTCAAGGAGCAGACAAAGGACGCTGCTGGTGTTGGCTCAAAGCCATACCGGCGAGTGCGTCCCCGCCCAATGTCGGCAGCCGGAAATACCATCACTGTCGTCCACGCTTACTCGCAACCTAATCTGTCCCTATTAAAATACTTCGGATACGATACCAACAACCCTGACGAATCACACCCTCTGCACACCAACCTCAAGACCATCTCGTGGCTCCAGCTTGTCAACCCCGAGAACGATCCAATTCTGTCCGCTGAGCTCCCCATAATGCCCGCCCAGGAGCTAGCCGAGCTCAAGCCCAGCAAGCGTACTGCATACTTCTTCAAGCGCAACCGATATGAGAGAGTCAAGAATGTGGTAAAGGAGGCTCGCGAGGGTGGCTTCGATGGTCTCGTCGTCGCCACTCTGCTCACACCCGCCAGCGTCTTTAAACACCTGGTCCCGCGCCTCGCCGGGTCAGCTCCCGTTGCCATGTATTCTCCGACTGTCGAGCCGCTCGTCGAGTTGATGGATCTCTACTCCACAGGGCGAAGGACAGCCTTCATCACCAAGAAGCGAGAACTCAGCCAGAATTCCCCGGATGATGAGGAGGTCGACTTGTCTTCCCTATATGACGAATTCGAACTCGATCCCACCCTTCTCCTAGCCCCAACCCTGCATCACTCTCGCGTCCGTGCCTGGCAAGTGCTGCCTGGTCGGACACACCCACTCATGACCGGACGAGGCGGTGCAGAAGGTTATCTGTTCCACGGCGTTCGAGTCATTCCGACAACAGACCACATCCAGGCTGCCGGCACCTTTCGGAAAAGGAGAAAAGTGGCCATCTCCACGCCCACTACCGATCAAGACGTGGAAATGGCGACCTGATCCTATATGCACGGTTTCGGCGCGGCCTTGGGTCTCTGGATAAAATCCAATGTACGAATATCATGATTACACTGGTCTCACACACAATTTTGTTTTATCACGAAGGCAGTAGAAAGTGACATTGAAGTGTCAACTTATCATTTTGGATGGAAGAGTGCTGCCCGGAATCCGGCTCTGGCAGCTAAGTCCTCGAGTATCAAGATGGTCCATTCATGCGCTGAATTTCATGAAACAATATACAATTCCCCATCATCTTTATTTAAAGGCTCTTTCCCATAAACTTTCTCTTTGTAAAGCTGAGCCAAAACTGAAACGGAAATCAGCAGTTCGTTCGATGCCGCGGGCATATCAGACGTACCTTAGACGGCCCCTCACCACCGGGGTATAATCTAGCATGTAGCCGCATAGCAGTCTCCTGTCGCACCTGCGAAATGTATCTGAACAATCAATGTTAGCGAACCGTGATGGACGATGAAGTACCATCTAAAGTGACGTACGCCCGAAGACTCTCCGCATCCTGGCGGTCTCGCGGTGGCTCAAAGGCCTGGTTCAGGGGAAAAGACACATCGCCAGGAATGGCGAAGTTGTCAAGTGCAGCATTAATCAGAGCCTGGTCATTCTGTCAGCACCTTTTCCCTACAGCACGGCACGGCACGGGGCATGTACCTTCTCCGCATCGCGAGCGCTCATTGTCGGCTTGACCTTCCCGAGGCACTCGCTGACAAACAGGGTTCCGTAGATAAGCATGCGATCGGCAGGCCCATTGATCTCAAAATTACGGAACAGAACATTGGCACGGAAGAGGGACAGGATCTCATCGACGCAATCATAGGACTCGCTGTCGGGAGAGATGTCGATATCGAGGGTGTTGGGGGGCAGGGCAGGCAGAGTATATGCGGGGCCACGAGTACGAGTGCGCAGAGGCAGGATAGGGAAGTTCCCTATGGTCAATGTCAATTCGAGATCTCTGGGGTAGGCCGCATATGGAGGGGGTTCAAGGCAGCTGTTGGCGGGGTTGCGTACCGATCACGGGGACATCGCGATCCTCCAGGAAAATGGAGTGGTATGCCTGAGAGCGTTAGAATGAGCGAACACCCAGGGTTCAAAGAGTACAGAGCACAGACAGGCATGATGAAGTACGGTGGAGGGCAAGTTGAAGATGGTCGAGATGTTCGGGCAGAGGAGATGTCATCGTGTGGAGCGCCCGAGCTCCCCTTGATTTTCCGCCCCGAGCCTCTTTACGCGCGGAACGCGTCGAGCTCCAGATCACTTTTTGCGCCTATACCTGGTTGTAATCACACCAAGATGTCCGACTACGAAGATGAAATGGACGTGGATGCACCCTCCAAGGTGCAATTCACGTCAGACAATGCCAGTGGGAAGAAGAGAACAGCGGCTGATCTCCCCATCTCAGCTCTGGACAATCTGCCGTGGTATGCCTACATCTTTGATTTTGAAGCAATTTTGAAGCTGAATATCTGAACAGGGTTGAGAAATACCGCCCAAGCAGCCTGGACGATGTTTCTGGTCATCGGGATATTCTCGCGACAATCAACCGTTTTATCGAAGCCAATGTATTTATCTGCAAACCTTCCACGAATTCCTGACCCTAATGAATTTTTAGCGTTTGCCGCATCTTCTTCTCTATGGCCCTCCCGGAACTGGCAAGACGTCAACTGTTCTCGCGCTTGCCCGGCGGATATACGGCGAGAAAAATATGCGGCAGATGGTGTTAGAGCTGAATGCTAGTGACGACCGTGGTATTGACGTCGTCCGAGAGCAGATCAAGACTTTTGCCAGTGTGTTCCTCTGCAGTGATTCTGTTGAGGCGGCCTACTGACCGCATAACACAGGCACGAAACAGATCTTTTCGATGGCCCCTCAGGCTGGCGGCTCAGGAATGGCCGGCTTCAAGTTAATTGTCCTCGACGAGGCCGACGCGATGACGGCCACCGCCCAGATGGCTTTGCGTCGGATTATGGAACGCTACACGGCCAACACGCGATTCTGCATCATCGCTAACTATACACACAAGCTCTCTCCGGCACTTCTGTCGCGTTGCACGCGATTCCGGTTTAGTCCACTTAAGGAAGCGGACATTCGGGTTCTCGTGGACCAGGTCATTGAGAAGGAACAGGTTCGCATCCAGCCCGACGCTGTGGATAGTCTAATCACTTTGAGTAAGGGTGATATGCGACGGGCTCTGAACGTGCTTCAGGCCTGCCATGCTAGCAGTACGATCTATACCCCCTCTTTGGCTCAACCGTTGGTCCACTGACTTGCCCTAGGTAAACCACTCGCGATGCGTAACGCACCTGATGCTCCCTTGCCTGAACCCGAGATGATCACCAACGCAACGATCTACGAATGTATTGCAGCCCCGCACCCATCTGACATCCAAGAGATCATGAGCACAATCTTATCCACCAGCGATGTGACTTCCTGCCTCGACACTGTGAACACGCTCAAGGCGAATAAGGGTCTTGCATTGGCCGATATCCTCTCGGCGCTGGCCGATCAACTACAGCGGCTCGAGGTGCCGGCCCAGACACGCATCACCTGGCTGGAAGGACTGGCGGAGATTGAGTGGCGCCTGTCCGGAGGTGGTTCCGAGGCGGTTCAGACCGGAGGCATGGTTGGAGTGGTGCGAAATGGATGTGAACTGATGGGGGACAAGGTTGCCCCATTGGTATGAGATGAAGGCAGGCGGGGGTATGTAATGAGAATGAATCCTAGCATGACAATTGGAGTTTTTATTTCGGGGTATGCAAGATAAGCGGAGATATAAGCAGAACTTGATCCGCCCTTCCGGCTCATCTGTATATGCGCTATGTGTCACACACATTGCGGACCGGGCGTCCCAAGATGGGACAGCGAGTACTTGCCGGGTGAAGCCCTAAAAGGCACAGTCGGAGTGGGGGAAAGGGTCCAGTTCCCGCACTTTTCCCCTCAACTCCACCTTCGAGATTGGATTTGACTCTCTTATCGATCGGGGGTATTCGGCATTTCAATTAGCTAATTCATGGCCCATTGCTCCTCGGAATTGGCCTGGCTTGGCCTGCAGTAGCCTCTCCCACCGCTGCTCTGGGTCTAGTTCGATGCGGTGGTCGCCGTTACACTTCTGGCGGAAGAGGGGTTTCAACTCGTCCACCTGCGATGACCGGCGGTCCGCAATGGCCTTACAACCCGGTGGAGAACATGCACGAGCCTATGCCCGATGAGGTTGATTTAGCATATAAGTAGCAGCGTGGGCGCCGGGCTGTGATAGCGTCTCGAGATTTCCCCATTCTCCCTGCGATTATCCAGGTCAAATCCCATCATGCGTTATTCCCTTCAGTCCGGTCTTATCCTGGCCGTCTCCCTAGCCGCACCAGTCGTGGATGCCGAGCGTGTGTTGGGTGCCTATATCTATTCCCGCCATGGTGATCGCACCGCGAAGATCTTTGGCAACACGGAACTGACCGATCTGGGTTACCACGAGGTCTTTGCGGCTGGTTCTTTCTATCGTGATCGCTACATTGCATCTGGTTCCGATAAGCAGATTGAGGGAATCAGTGATGCTATCGTTAATGCAAATCAGATCTCCGCGAGCGCTCCCTCAGATGCTGTGCTGCAGAACTCGGCCACGGGTTTCTTGCAGGGCGTGTATCCGCCCGCGGCCAAGGCAGCCTCGCAAACTCTGGGGAATGGCACTTCTGTTCAGGCGCCGCTGGATGGATATCAGATCATCCAAGTGCAGAGTACCGGTACCAGCCAGGACAGTGAAAACTCCGCTTGGCTGCAAGGCTCCAGTGACTGCAGCAAGGCCACCGTGAGCAGTAACAACTACTACACTTCCAGCTCCTATATGTCGATGCTGGCATCTACCAAGGATTTCTATGCCTCATTGTCACCCATGCTGAACACCACCTTCAACGCGGACGAGATGAGCTTCAAAAACGCCTACACCATTTTCGACTACCTCAATGTAGGCTATATTCATAACTCAACCAAGGACTTCCCTCTCCGGGACAACTTGACCACTGAACTGTACGCCCAGCTCCTTCAGTTGGCCAGCAACCAGCAGTTCAACCTCGCTTTCAATGCGTCCGACCCAGTGCGCGCCATCGATGGTGCTGTCTTGGCCGGCGAGATCCTGTCTCAGCTCAATGAGACCATCACCTCGGAGGGCAAGTCCAAGCTCGGTGTCCAATTCGGCTCATATGGTACTTTCATGTCATTCTTCGGACTGATGCAGCTGCCCGCGGCATCTGTCGATTTTACCGGCATCTGTGACTATGCGTCTACCTTTGCGCTGGAGTTGGTGACCAACGCTACAGGCACTGGTATGCCTTCAACCGATGAAATCAGCGTGCGCTTCATGTTCCACAACGGCACCATAACCGGCTCAGATGAGCCCACCGTCTACCCTCTGTTCGGGCAGGCGAATAACCTCATCTCGTGGGACGAATTCAAGACCCAGACAGAGAAGGTCGCGGTCCTCTCGGACGACCAGTGGTGCACTCAGTGCGGTAACACCGACGGGAAATGCGCCAGCTCTGCAAGCACCAGCTCAACCTCCGACTCGACCGGCTCTTCTGATAGCAGTTCGGGAGGTATTTCGCGTGCCGTTGCCGGTGTTATTGGCGCGATGGTGACCCTTGCGGTGATCCTGGGTCTGGAGGCCCTGTTCTTCCTTATCGGTGGATTCCGCATCTCTAAGCGCCGTAAGGCTGGCCCTGAGATGATCTCGGCGGCTGGTGCGGCCGATGATAAGAATTAGAGTGAAAGGAAGTATGAAGTCAATCAAGCTAGGATCCTCTGCCCAGTCTGAGACTTGCCGAGACATTGATCCAATGTGTCCTCATTGACTAGTATCGATTACGATCTATCATAATTTAATGAATCAAGTCTCATCTGCTGTGCTGAGTGAGGGATCTCCATCGTGCAGCACACGCAGGTGGGACAATTATATTGCAATTGAACCTAATCGTATAGTTCAGGGTATTGCCTTGGTTCTTCTGGATCTCATTGTGAGGGGCCATAATTGCATCCAAGTCTGCCTAAATCGAAAAACTGTTGATACATTAGATGATCTTTCCATCAACTGTTATGGAGAATGCTTACTCCCATAGTCACAACGGCCTATCTGGACACGAGAAATCCATCTACACCAGTGAACGGGTGTATACATTTGGCCACCCACCGCCTACTTTCACCGCCTCCTGGAACCCACTACGTGATCCGCTCCTCAATTTCTATCGCCAACTTTCCCCACCTGGCACACCATGCCGCGCCAACAAATCAATCTCGAACCCTATCGGGACGAGATTATCACGCTGTTTCAACACGGCATCAGTAGTGATTCCATTGGCCGCACACTTGAGAGCCGGTATAACATCCAAGTCAAAGAGCGCACTATTCAATCGCGACTGCGGAAGTGGGGCATTCGCAAACGCAGCCGAACAACAACAGCCGATGCGGTGCTACACGCACGCATCAAGGTGCTCTTCATTGAAGATAGACTGACCGATAAGGCAATGCTCAAACTGTTACGGCAAGATGGCTATGACATCTCTGAGCGTACGCTTCGCCGCTTACGGTTCCAGCTCGGCCTCCACGCCAGAGCTTCTTTAGAGCACAACCAGGGCTCTTCCCCAGCCACGGTACCTGTCAAACTGCCTGTCGTTGTCCCTATATCGATGCTGGCTGAACAAGACAGCAGCTCTTGATTGTCCAAACCCCCGCCATTCCGTGCTCCGGATCCGCTGATGAAGCCACTTGACTACGGGACTGCTATGCCAAATTATCAACAACCCCCCTATGCGCCAATTGACCCCACAGAAGTCCTTTCTCCCTATGCAACAATCCAAAGGACCCTCCGTTGACTGCCAGTAAGCGACTATGTACTGGCTCGACCTTACCCTCCATGCGCCACAACTACCGTTCAACCTGGTCACCCCTCGAGGCTTGTAATTGATGATGAGGCCGGTCGGGACATCAGCCATCAAATCCTTTGATGAAGCTGGAGCTCGCATACCGCCATCCCGACACCCCATCTTGTCACCTCCCATTCGCGACACTACACAATACGTTGTTTAGCCTCCTATTGACAATGAACGCCAAATCGGAGGACTAATGGATCATGCGACCAATTCTGCCGTATGCGACAAAACAATCATGGACTCAGGACTGCATTGAACGCCTAAAGGAATTTGGATAATAATATATCTCTTGTATTAGATTGGCCTTTTGTACAGTCGGGACTCGGAGATAGTTCAGAAGTTTCTAAACATTGTACTATCTTGTCTATTCGGCCTTGGAATATCTCCCGGAGCTTTTACCAAGGTCTCTTGAGACATGTCTTGCTCCCTCGAGGTGAAATGTAGCCGAAGTATTTCGAAGCCCATCCGTGTCACGTGCCATGACGTTCGCTTTTCTCAGAGCTGCGAAATGTAGACTTCCCTTCAGCGACATTCGAATAGCCATTGACACTCCTGCGCCGAGTGTGGCTTCGTTCACCTAATATTCGTAATGTCCTCTCAATACGCCAGTGAGCCGAATCCTACCGCGTCAGCCACTCTGAATACCACTGTCGGGCCCATACACATCGCTCTGTTCGCGAATCAGGCCCCTCTCACTTGCAAGAACTTTCTTCAGCACTGCAAAGATAACTACTATGCCGGCACAATATTCCACCGCATAGCACCAGGGTTCGTGATCCAGGGTGGTGACCCAACAGGCACTGGGTCGGGTGGTACGTCGATCTACGAATATCCGGAATTCGAGTACGACCCTGAAGCCCGCGATCCGAATGAGAGGGTTATGCTACGAGATGAGCTACACAGTCGCCTACGCTTTAATCGCCGAGGCTTATTGGGCATGGCTAAGAGTGAGGATGGTACATACGGAAGTCAATTCTTCATTACGCTTGCCAACACCGAGCGCGAGTTGAACGGACAATGCACGCTTTTTGGACGACTGGAGGGAGACAGTATCTACAACGTGTTGAAGATCGCAGACGCAGAGCGTGTCGAAGGGACCGAACGGCCTGTATACCCGGTCAAGGTGACCTCTTGCGAGGTTGGAGAATTGGGACCACTGGCTGGGAAATTAAAGGACAGGGTAACCACCGCATCCGCGTCAATGGGCGATAAGCAAGCGCCAAAGAAAAAGAAGAAGGCCGGCAAGGCCGGCAAAGTCCTTCTGAGCTTCGGAGGCGATGACGGTGACGAGGAAATGCCCATGCGGCCGGCGAAGCCCAAGTTCAATACCAAACTTGTTGCGGATGCGCCTGGCGCTGCCAGCAGCAATGGAAAAGCCCCCGAGGCCGAAGAGCCAGAATCTACTCAACCGCGCAAACGACCCAGGTCTCTATCTCCAAAGCGCTCACCAGAACCTGAGCGCAAGCGTGTCAAAACCCCGGATCCGCAGGCCCAGTTGCCGTTGAAAGACCCTGAATCACCGAGTCGATCACCGACTCCAGAAGAAAAGCCCGCAAAACAGTCCAAACTTTCGCGGACGAACGCCGAAATCGAGAACCTCAAGGCTTCCATGCGTCGAAATGTGGAAACCGGTCCCGCTGATACCGGCCGCAAGAAGTCCGCACTCGAATCTATGATTCCAGAAACCGCTATTCGTGGCCGTAGGCGACCACCACCAGGCTCTGTGAATGGGTCAGCATCCAGTGCAGGCCCTAGAAACGCAGCGGAGACCGAGGCGTTGCGTATGTTCAATGCCTTCAGGGCCAAGCTAGAAGGAAGTGACACCAAGCCATCCACTTCGCACAAAGAGCGGTACGCAGAAAAAGAGAATGGTCAAAATCCGAACCAAGATGCAGACGAGGAGGAAGCTCAACTCTGTGACCTTCACTTTATTGCCAATTGCCAGTCCTGTCAATCCTGGGATGATCCTGATGCTGCAGAGGCACACGATTCCGGACGAGAAGATGCAAATTGGCTAAGTCATGAACTGCGCTTCGGCAAGGATACCTTGGGCAAGGATCTCAAATGGAAGAAGGAGCACCAAGACGCAGATTCACTGATGGTCATCGATCCGCGCGAAAAGGAGAAGGCGTTAGGTGGTGGACGCAAGCGAGGTTTCCAAAGAGACCGTGAACGCGAGCGTAAACGTGAGCGAGCAGGAGATTTGGAATGGGATCGAGAGAAGCGTTGATAGCTAGTGTCTTCTAAATGCTACGAATAGGAGGACAACGAATAATCAACTACAAGATTGACCAAGGCAAATGAGTGAGCAAAAAAAATTTAAGCCCATCTCTGAATAATTTTATCGTGGATCATGGCAAGTTTTTACCTAGGTACAAAATAACCCACCGCCGCCCAGAAAGAAGCATATACCCCCTTATACATAACGCCGTGGCATCTGGGATAATCATGATCCCGTGCTTTCTTTTGACATCCTTCTTACAACCTCTCTTGCCTCAATTACGCCTTGCGGCGGCGCTTCGCTGCGCTGCCTCCATCGTCGAGGCCCTTGCCATCATCATTTGGCCGGGCAGGACTAGTCGCCTCACTATCGGTCAACTGCTCGATGACTCGGCCCGAGTCCGCATTGTTCCCCGAACCCGATTCGGCGCCGTAATGGACATCATCGAAGCCATAGTTGTATCCCGCATGGCCTTGGTCATGGTTCGATGCTTCAAAAAGATCGCCATTGTCAGGGATGTGGTCAAAGTTGAAAAGGTCGTTGGTGTCGCCATCATCGGTTTGGACGGGGCCTTCGTGTTTATTCGTTCCCAATGCCTGACCAGCATTGTCATCCAAATTGAAATGTTTCTTATCATTGTCTGTGTCGGCGAAATCCGTAAAATAGTCGTGGTTGAAGATTGTGTCAAGGTCAAGCGGTGGGGGCGGCACGTTGCCATCACTGTCAAGACCAGGTATCGCGCCCGTCGGGCTTAATGGTTGAAGAAGGTGAGTCAAGTTCTGGACGGACCGATCCTGTTCGGCTTGCATTTTCACCAGGTTATCGATTTCTTGACGGGTGTTTGCGAGACGGCCTGAGTAGTTGTGGGGCATCGGGGGTGGGTTCGGCGTTGTCAGAGCATTGTTCGTCGCATTCTGACCAGCGCCTCCTGAGCCGGTTTCGTTGGCCATCAGTCGAAGCATGTCAGCACGCTGGTTTGGGGTGAGAGGTACATTGCCGCCGGCATTTTCCAGGGAGGAAAGAACGTTAGGGAACTCGGAGAAACTTGTCGGGATGCCGTTTCGCGCATTGGAATTTTCTATGACAGACATAATATCCCGCTGGTGAGAGTTGTCATCTGCTAACGGCATTCCCGGAGCTGGAGGCAGGTGGGTGTTGTCTTGTCGTGGACTGTTATCAAGGACTTCCTCCACATGTCCGGACTTTGTAGCACTCGGCTGACGAGTATGGCCGCGGGACCGGGTATCATAGGAGCCGCTGACCGAAGGAGATAATGTGGTGGCTCGAACATTATCATCGACGGTTGGGGGCGCTTTCAAGAGCAGCGGCTGCTTTTTCATAGACCTTTGTCCCGGAAGGCTTGTCAACCCGCTCAGCGGGTTGAAATGAAAAGTTGTCGCCCATGTCAACGATGTTGCCTTGATCGCCTGAAATGGCTCCAGCGAACGTGTTGGCAAGGTTTTGAGGGTTGCCATCTTGTCCTTGTAAGCTGCGGTTGTACACCGTTGCAAGAAATGTGAGAATGGCGTTGATCGAGTTCTCGTGACGAGTGTGCTGTTCTTGGAAATTGGCAGCCTGCGCATAGAGTTGCTCATGCTCTTTCCGCAGCCTGGAGATAGTGGTCGAGATGATCGACTGCTGCTGACGGATTGCCTGCAACTCACGGTACACCCCAGAAAGTTGGTCATTGGGCATCTGAGAGTCGGTGAGCAGCGAAAGGTGCCGTGGGCGGGCACGCTCATCTCGGGCTGCCGGTCCACTATCCTCAGCATAGTCATCCATATCATTCTCATCCGCGTCCTCTGTCTTCACCCGAGGTCCACTCTTACTACCCTTGCTGGCGTGACCGGTCGCGTTTTTTGGCTTCTGAATCAACCAGAGCAAATCTGGGTGGCCTCGTTTGAAGTAAGGGTTGGCATATTCGCTGGGACTTTTGTTCTTGCGCTCGCTGGCGCGCATGGAGTTATCCGATAAACCCACCTTCTTGTGGAAGCCGTACATGTTAAGCTGTCGCACAAATGATGCGTAGTTGTTGTGTTTAAAAAGCTCGGGAATCAATGTCCTCGCAAACTCGTCCTCGTCTAACACGATGAAAGAATTACCGTCGTCCGACCACCGGATCAGCTCGGTATTTTTCGACTCATCCAAAAAACTGCAGTTCGTAGATTAGCTTTAAATCCACATTGCTGGGGCTTCAAGACTGTCATACCTGCTCAACTTCTGCACAAAAGGGGGAATCTGTTTTCGCTTTGCCTGAGAATCTCTCTTGGCTGCCAGAGCCCGCTGGTATAGTTCCTCCAATGACTCCCCCCATGCGCCAGACTGCCCTCCGTCTTGACCGTTGTTCTCCTGGTATACGGTTGGGGATTGCTCGTAGCCACGATTTCGGCTGACTAGCTGGTTTGCTGCTTGTCTGCGGGCAAGTTGATTTGAAGACGCTGCGCCTGGTGCCGACAGCTCCTGAGATGTCGCGTATGCCGCCGGGTTGTAGGTAGAAGAATCGGCGAACGAGGAAGAATTGCTGGCGCTTGTGGCGGGGTTCTGGCCCCATTGCAGGAACTGGTCGTTAGATAGTTGAGATCCGGGATTCGAGGAGGAATAGTTTGGGACAGCGCTCATCGGGGCTTGACCGGTCGGAGCCGTTCCGGGAGCAGGTCGTTTGCGTGTCATACTTTGGGAGCTCATTGGGAATTGACGAGCCTTAGGTGGTCGAGTGGCGGTTATCGGAGGGTGAAAATTAGAATAAATGCTGTAGCAACAGGCTTTTCGGATGAAATAGTTTCGAGGCTATTCGCGCTCCGAATTCGATGAATTCTTTCCTGGATATCGATCTCACGATGAGGCACGTAAAAAAAGTCTGGGTTCACCCGACGGGCAAAAGACCGGCCGATGATGGCGATCGGACCAATCTTTCTGCGACGCAAATGAAGTTGATGCACAAAAGCGCAGTTGGCGACCACGAATCAACGAGGGAGGGTCAGCAACGATCTGCAAGACTTCTGGCGAGATACACCACAATCAGCGCGCGCCACAATGGATCGACATTCAAGGGGGCTCGAGAGGGACAGGGTAGCCCAAGCGTGCGTGAGAGATTTCACACGGGAGCCGAGGGAAATGAACGGTTTAAGAGACAGCGCCGAATTGGAACCCGCAAAACCTTTTGCGCTGGAAAGTCACTACTTGGCGATGAGGTCAATTTGAGCGGAGGGCCCTGCTGACTCAGCTCCTTCCATGTGACTTTTGATACCATTCGATGTTTACAACGAACTTACTGATCGGAACGAGGAACTTCGGAAGGAATAGATTTCAACTGGTGAGCGTTGCTTAAGTTTCCTTGGATGTAAGCGAACATCTTGGTCTCTTTTAGAGGAGCTTTAGAGAGATAAACAGCTACCCTGAGTGATGCTGAGAAAAAAAACGAGGAATCGCGCGTAAAGGCCTATCAAGAGGACCCTCCCAGTCGAACTGGATCCATAATCCTACTCTTCCTTGATCAATGCGCGAAATTTCTCACGAATTTGTTGCCACTGCTCTGGCTGTGCATGCGTGAACTCCTCTACTCTTGTTGGCGCAGCCAGGTCTTCTCTCATGCGTCCTTCATCCTTCGTGCCATTCAAGACAGCGACGTTGCTCAAGCTCACCACTAAAGCGTATAGGGCGGCTGCGGGGCTGATATCGGTATGTGCAGCCAGTTGCTGAACGGGTGTGGAACGCACTAGATCGGGGTTGGCTGTCAAGGTCCAGAAACTCTGGTAGATGATCTGATGGTCGCGACAGAAGGCACGCAAAGAGACGTCAAACAGAGTGTCCTCATAGAACCTGTTTTGCACCACTGCAGGCTTCACCTTGACCTGGGGAGAGTCGTTTAGCTCGCGAAGTACAGGCAAAGAACAGTTGGAGATGCCCAGGTTCCGGATCCGGTGAGGCACGTAAGTCTCCAGTGCAGACCAAGCTTCCAAAGTCAATTCCAAAGTGCGCAGCGGTGAATGAATCACTAGCGCGTCAATGTAGGCATGGTCTACGCTAGCAGGGTCAAAGGATGGTCGTAAATTGTGCAATGAGGACATGACAGATGTTTGGACCTGTTCGGTTACGGAGGCCTCTGGATGATACGGCATGTTATTCGGGTCCTGCGCCTCCACAGGGCTGAATTTGGTTTGCACCTTGGCTTGGGTTAGGCAGGAGTCAGTTGGAGATGTTGGCTTGAATGGACTCACATATAAGTCTTCCCGGCGAACAATTCCATCAGCAATTGCCCTGCGGATTCCATCACCCACCAGATCTTCCTGATAGTGTCTCGGTTGGGCAGCCGTGTCAATCGCCCGGAAGCCGGCTTTGACCGCGATGTACACGAGATCGGCTGACTGTTCTTTTTTCCAGGCTGTGCCGTAGAGGAAGACCGGCATGAAAGCTGGACCAGAGTCGAGAGCTGGACGCAGACTGTACCTCTCCCACATCTTGCCGACAGCTCGAGTGATGTTCGTGAGGGCGAGGTGCTCGAAGACTAAAGATTGACACTTGGTGGTTGCGGGGTCGCGTTCTTACTAAGAGATGTGACTGCAACACCTTGATTGTGAGGTACTATCTGTCGAAAGAGCTATTTTCCTTGGCACTCAAGCCGTCCATACTCTGGATGCTTTTGGTTGCTAGACTTGGATAGATGCTTTGATTGATTTTTGTTGTGAAATCCTCATAAGCTAAACCCCTCATGCGCGTTTACGGTTATTCCTCATCGTCTTGGGAAATGTGAATAGGTTTGATGCTCACGCCGAAGATCTTAGATAAAAATTCGAACCCTGGTGAGTTCTCCGGTCTCTTACATACAAAATATCCGGCTGCGGAGGAGCGGGTTGGCCTGCATTGCGAGTCCGCGCATGGGCGCTGGATTTCGACGCCGTGAATCAGGAGCCCTTATTGTTATGGCTCTCATGCATGATGTCCGATAAATTTCCGGTGTGATTTTGATTTCAACTCAGAATACGGTTGACCCCTCAAACTACAAGAAGGGTCGACTTATATCAATAGCGGCCTCACCAGCGTGGCTTGGGCACATAGATGAACAAAACCCAGTTCTTGGCTTTGTGGACACCGCATGTGTGCCTTTTCTCTAGCTCTCGCAAGGTAAAGAGATATTTCAGGAAAACCATGAAGTTGGACAATTGTGAGATATTACACAGCCACTGCGAACTGGTCGCGGTTCCTTGGCGGCCCCAAGTCAGTGAAAGACATCCACTCATACCGTGGCTCAATCTTGGCCAATTTGATGATGCCCAGGGCAACGGCTTTTTCCATATTCATATTGGCGGTTGCTCCTCTTGGTAGTGGGGTGACCCATTCTGACCTACTCAACCACTTGTGCACTTGGATGTGAAGATCTTCGCTTGGTCATGTTCTAAGGGGCTCAGCAGTCCGGGTCCCTACCCAAGCACTGCGTGATTCTCGAAGTATAGACAGATTTACTGCCCAGCTACTACGTATGGCCGGGATGGATCTGTACGTGATGTCAATTATAGAAACGACCACGGATTTCCAAGTCGGTGCCATGAGCATTTGAAGGTATAAGCATGCTGAGGTGGTCCGTGGAAATAAATGTCTAACAGGAAGAAACACAGTCAACCAGCGATTAATTTACTCTCGAACACTTTACCCCAGTTTTATTGAAACACCCCAACATCATACTTTCTCAACATCTCCTCGCTCTTAGTGGTCTCATGCTTGCCAGCCATGTAGCTATCGCGGCCAAACTGGAGCACGACGATGTCCCCAACCGTTGCTGGGCTGATTGCGGCCCCGTGGTGGGAATTTCGGAGAAGTGTGATAATCAGTATGACAATAACTCTGTTGAGCTGAATCGTATCTGTAACTGGAGCCCGGCGAAAACCCAAGTTCCCCTCTGTGCGGCTTGCATTACCAACTATAAAAATGACGGCAACGACCATGGCAATGACAACGACAACGACAACGACCATCACAATGATAGTGATGACAATGATGGTATGTATATTTGTCTAAAATCAGGCTGTAACCCGCTCTAATGCCATATCAGAAGCTCTTGAGATTGTGCATTCGTGTAGCTTCAGCGCAACCACATATAACGCCGCCATCGCGACAACTCTGACTACAACTACTGATACTACAGCGACCGACTCGAGATCTGGCATTGCCACGGCTACAATTAGGCCGAGCTCTACGGGCAGCAGCACCAATGACTCGACTCGCTCCGACTCAACTGGATCAGGAGGCTCGGAATCATCTACCCCAACCACCGACTCAGCGGCCGGCATGTCTATGCCCGAGCTGCTGCTCTTGCAATTGCGGGTCTGATTGCCCTGGCTTGGCTGTGAATCGGATTTTTATACTTGGTTCTTTGCTGGTGACCGAGTATGACGGTGTGAGTTAGAATGCAGGATAATGACGATGATTTTGTCGATCACTTACCTGGAATCGTACATGGTTTTGTTCATACGTTCTAGTTTTGAAGGTTGATTGAATTGATTCCTTCTTTAACATACTCCCCATTCTGAGCTGAGGCTCAGATTAGACCCGAGGTGTTGACCAGATGGAAAGATAGGAGGTAGGAGGTATGACACAGAAATTGTTTAACTACCAGTTAGTAAATCAAGACAAGGGGTATCTATTCATCTATATGAACCTGTGAATGTACAGGGTAGCATTATTCATGCAAAAAGCGTGACTCATGAATTCAATGAAACATTGTCCAGAATCTGAGCCTCGTCTGCTTCTGATGAATTTCCACGCATGGCATATGTATCATCTTCAGGTAATGATGATGAGATATCCTTTTCATGACCATTTCCTTCTTCATCGCTGAGCTCCTCTTTTTGGTCCAATGAATCCTCTCCCCACGATGAATCCTCGCCAAGCCATTCGTCCGGGGGCAAAGACCAATCCCATTCAGGATCATACTCGATGTTGTATACATCGCTATAACACTGAGCCTTCGACGGACAACTGCGCATTACAAGTCAGTATAGCTGTATCGTTCGCACCGATATAACCCAACTTACTATACAGCCTCTTTGCCAAAGATGATGTGCCACAAGTACTCGAATACCCGCCCGCTGGTTTCATCGTCCAACTCGGTGGTCATGAGCCAGTTGTGATAAGCCTGGTAGTCACTCAAAGGGCGGGCAAGAACTTGAGCCCTGCTGACCGCGAACTGAGCGCAACAGGGAGCCGCCACAAATTCAGGAATATTGGTGTTGTTGAATATCTGCATCCAAGCCCCAGCAAAGGCAATCTCGGTGGTGCGCCCGGCCAGTTGTCGGAATGGCTGGACCTCATTGGGACATCCGGGATTCCAGTCACATCTCAGATTAACATAGCCCGACTCATCGACATAGTCTAGCTGAAGTCGCTGGATGGTGAGAGCGTTATCCTGCTCCATGAACTCGACATGGTAGCTGGCGCGGTGCGCGTGGAGGAAGACCATGTAATTAGGGAGTTTGTCGTAGTGATCAATGATGTACTGAAGATAGACATTGCTCTCTTTGCCTTTATTCTCTTTGACGGCATATTCAGCGTCCGGATCATCGACCACGTAGACTGCATGCTGCCATCTACAGTTTTGGGGGATCGGATCAGAATAAAGCCATTGAATATAGCTTGGAAGGAAGAGATTGATGGTCGGGTATCAACTTACTCTGGCAACTCCTCTTCCAGCCAATCGGAGTCTTCCCACGACGTTCTGCCCATGACGATAATCCGATCGGTCTTAGGCGTCACCTTGGGCTTTGGAGGTGATGAAGGAGTGGGCTTGCGCTCTTCCTCTTCTTCATCTCCTAGATACTGCCACCAGGGATCATCAAAGTCATCATAGTCGTCATACCAAAGTCCCGGAACTTCCACCGGAATAATCTGTGGCTTAAACTCCGTCCGCTTTATAGCCGGCTTGGTCGGCTCCGGATAGATCTTAGAAGTGGAAGTTGAGACGGTGGTCGTTGAGGTGACAGTTGAGCTAGACCAAGCTTGAACAGGAGGACGCAATTGATCCTTCGAGACCAGCTCGATATGGGCACCCCCGTCGTTTACCACGAAATCAAATTTCCGGCGGTCCTGGTGGTCCTGGTGGTCCACCCGATCGGACTTGATGGAGCCCAGATGGGTCTTCACCAACAACAAGGTCAAGACCAGGCCGCAGACGAGCGTTATACGTAACGTGCGCATCGTCGCGCAGTTACAGATCCAGCTGTTTAAAAGGTCGATGAACCACGCGGGCGACAAGCAACTTTTAAGAACTTAAAAAAGGCGCCGACTTGGCAGGACCCACATCGACGCATCCAGACAGACGACGCCTCATCACTTTATCGTGGCTTGATCCTCGCGACTGCCCCTTCTTGAAGACTTTCGATATAGGAAAACCGTAGGTTCCAATGCTGCTCAAGGTCTAGATATGCGCTGATTGTCCACGAGCATTCTTCATCATCGGTCGTGGTAAAAGAAACTTGAGTCGGCAAATATAGAGTGGGGCGGGCATTCGTCAGCGATTCGTATATCTCTTCCTGGGCACATTGTGGCCTGCTTCTGTGCTGTTTTCACATTGGATCCAATGAGGTTTTCATCGTTATAGCCATAAGATAAACTCCGTGCGTCTGCGACTTTCGCAAACTTGTCCAGACTTCACGACCCTCTCCCGTTCGACGTCATGGCGATCCTCTTCATTGAGACGCTAAGGTCTTGCTAGGGCCTCGCGAGAGTCTTACCATCAATAATAGTCTCGAGTCTAGCAACTCGACACTTTTATTGGTGTTGATGCTGCCTAGACAGACCTCTCGCAAATGCTTCCTACCAATATTGAACATCTGAACCCAAATTACTCCTGTCCTTCCCCAATTCACGTATCTAGGCTTGACTGAGGTTGCCCGATAATCGATGCGACCAACGCAAACCCATTTTCGATGGACCACTGAGTGTAAATATTGGGCAGCCTTGTCTGATGAATCAGAGCGGCTGTAAGATGGCTGCAAAATCATCCATTTCTTCCCAATGTGATCTTCAGAAGCGACGCGTATAGACGTCACATATAGCGGGACGCCCGGTGCCTCTAGTCTTCGATAAGTCTCATGCACTCGTTGCTTGACCGTGCAGATTCACCTGATCAGTTCAGAAGTTTGGGCATAAAATCCGTCTTCATCCCTCTTAACAATCAGTCATGCTTCCCAATATCTAGTCGCCGATCCCAAGTCGATCATCCTTAGGGCTGGTCTCGTCAATTCAGGGGTAGAACACATTCGCCCCTCCCAAAGCCAGGATGACTCTATTCCCAACAATGGAGTACAAAGTCTCGCCTGAATTGGCCAAAGCATTCCCACTACCCGTTCCACTTTCAATGGATCCTGATGGCTCCGAACTTCTGAGCTTCTGCGCTCCCGGAAGACGTCTTTTCATAACTCCGATGAGACAAGCCAATGACTTTATTACCCACTCGCTCATAACGCCATTGTTTAGCGCCAGGAGGTTCTCTTCACGGTGTCCACCACGGACCACGGCGAAGGCGGATTCCGGGATGCGAAAGTCCACATCTTCCATTATCCGAGTGCTTGGCTGAAATTCGCAGCATTGAGGAAGTCAATGGCTGATCTTTTCAAATGGTAAAAAAAAAAGGGGGGGGCGGGGGGGGGAGGGGGGGTCACTAAGTAGATCCTGTGAGCTGGTGGCAAGTTGCGGCCAGAGATCCTGTAAATCAACATCACGTCTCTGTCATCAGCATGCAGGGTCGATGAGGCAGATCAGGGGGAAAGAGGAGACCGGAATTGACAAGCAGCTCCGAATAGCTTCTCCATCCTTAGCCTGGCCTGTGAGAGGGTCACTCGCAGAAAATACTAAGCCGAGCTCTCCACCGACCATCGGAAACTGACGTTCCCACTCTCGCGCGCTCTAACCGGGCTCTAGCGGATTTCAAATGTTCTAGCTGGTGTCTAGGAGCTTCCTCGGCGGTTCCGCGGCGCCACTAGCACGGAGGCTGCGCGGATCGTGGAGACGCGCTGAAAGGTTTCAATTTCATGGAGTGGGCTTGGCGTGTATAGCACCACACGCCGTCTGTCACGGCAAGGGCCAAGTACCGATGAGAAATCGCTGGCCAATCCCGCAGGACCAAACTATTGGCAAGGAAGTTTCAGAAAGGGTTCCGGGAGGGCCAGAAATAGGTGGCCGACTAAGGTGGTGGCAAACGACAAGCGCTTCCAGATCGAGATAGGAGATGATCCGCCGGAGACGCTAAGAAGGGGTGGAAAAAGGGGGGGAGGAAAGGAAGGAGTGTTCAACATACTGTGAAGGACCCTAGTAAAAAGTAGTGGGCTATACATAGAAGAATTGGGTGGGGGCAGTAGAAATCAAATTACTCGGTGGCCCAAGTGCTACAGTACAGGGACCTGTCAAGCGTATCACATATAGTGGCACCGGAGCACGAGGCAGGGCGTGCACTGGGAGTGCACTAGACCGGTCAGATGTCACTTAACCCCCTCGTGCGAGATCGTCGCGGCCCGACAGAGCGTTTGGAGTGATACAACCCAGGGGATGTATAATATTCGAAGTATAAAAAAGTAGAAGAACATTAGCCGTAGATGGAGTCCCGCGTATCATGTTGGATGTGATTTGGATCCAGTTCTCCTCCGTAGGGAGATTTGCATTATTTTTTAGTGCCCACCGTGGCGGAGACAGCATCCACCTAGAACAGAGTCTAAAAAGTTCGAAGCTCGGGCACCCCCAGGAAACGGGGATAATAGGGGAGTCGATGGGTTGACATGCTGACTCGGCTAGCAGAATTTACTGGAAAACACCCCAATATTCAGGGAAGAAAAAAAAGAGATACTCAAGAATAAGCATGAAAAGGCGGAAATAAGTCAGTACCTAGGACGAAGTATAGAAGGGGCTCAGAGTAAAGAGGAGGCGGAGGGATTCAGAGGATCCAGGACGAGAAGAGTGATTGGCAACCCGACGTCAATATGAAGCCCCAGAATAGAAAAACGAGAAAGGGGAAAAAGGGACTTATTCGTATCCTAGAGACAAATGCAGAGCCGATGTTATAAGAGTCCGACAGGCCCCAAAACTCGTGGAAAGTGCAAGCAAATAGTTGAAAAAACACCCGCAACTCCTTACTCCCCGTTCTTGGCGGTTTTGTGGACCGCTCACCCACTTCCGGCCTTGCGTGTCTTTTCTTTCCCTTTTCCTCTTCCCTATCCCCCCCCCACTTGTCTTCCTCCAGTTCCTCGCGGTGTGAATTTCTCATTCATTACCGAGGTGACACTTCTCTTTTCAGAGATCAGATCAAAAACATTTTCCTAGGAACCACAAGCCAGAAGAAA